ATATGTTGTTGCACCTCATGATGAACCAAGGGCAAGTCAAAGGTGCCCAGCCAGAGTCCATTTCGAATGCGAAGAGGGGTGCAGACAGGGGGACGGTCGAGTTGGCTGCCATGTGGTGTACAAGTGCGTCGTAAGGGTTCGTTGGGTTGTCGATCCTTGTGATTGAGATTGAATTGCCTTCCCCTTGCATAGTCTTTGACCAGGGTATGCGGAGAGATGCATATTTAACACCACTGGCAGTTACTTGGTGAGTGATTGGGAAGAGCATGCGACGTGACGGGGGGTGTCGAATGAATTGAGTGATGGAATGATGAGTTCTCCGAGTCTGTAGGTGTGTGAGTTAATGGGAAGTTAATGGAAAGGAATGGTATGCAGTACCTGCAACAGGACCAAAAGGCTATGCTAGCCACGCAATAAACTGCCGAATCGAACGAGTTGGAGAGGTCAAGATGGCGGAAGAGTGTGTGCATGTGGTCCAGGGTCACGGGTGGTCTACATGGACGTTTGGACGTTTCAGGTATGACCTTCGCCAGTCCTTGCTTGGTTCTGCGAACGAGTGCGTGACCGTGCCACTGCGTGCTGTTGAGTTGGTGCCAAAAGTGAAGACCCACAAGCCAATAGTCTGTGGTTGTTTCAGCAGCGCGGCCGGCCCAAGAAGAGATGAAGGCTGCAATGATGTGTTCTGGTGCTGGAAGGTGTCGTTCCTTGGGGACAGAGATAGAGTCGCAGAACTGGTGGAACCTGAGAAGGCCCACACCATAGTTCTCTCTTGTTTTTGGTTTGACAGAGATTAAAAGTACATTGAGAAGGCGTGAGGCCATTGCAAGGGGAAGGTCATTGAGGAGACCTGAATGAAAGGATTCTGAGTGTGGTGCTGACCAGAGGCGAGCTCTGTCGCGTGCAAGAACATGTGGGCGAAAGTTGGAAGGTGCAATGATATTTGCTGGTTTGGGTTTACGGGGCTTGGGAATTCTGTGAGTAGTGGTGGGTGGCACTCCGATCTCAGGCAGCTTCTTCAAAGTGTTCCTAAGTCGGACCAAGGCTGTCACCATGTCAGCATTGGCTGACTCTGACGAAGGTTCGTCAGACATGAGGTAGGATGAAAGGGTCCAGCTCCGGAGGTAGCTGGATGAGGGGTAAATGAGTGCTCGTCGGACCCGTCTCACCATGAGAGACAGGGTCCGCTTTATTGACGAGGCAACTCGATGTAAGTGAGGTGATAGAACATGTTGGAGTCCATTGCTATGGCCTCCACACGATGGATGCAGGAGTTGACCTGGAAGTTTCTACTGTGGCCGTGCTTGAAAGCACCAATGACGCCTTGGTTATCGGAATGGATGAGGACTCAGTGATCCTTCCATCCGAACTTGAGCAGTGTGATCACAGCCAGCTTGATGACGATTGCCTCGAGCCAGCCGATATCTCAGCCTTCACCTTTCCATCCTTTGGTAATGTGCCATGTGCTCCATCTTTTGCCGAACGTAAGCCCAATACCCCAGTCTGTGGAAGCGTCGACCCAAAGGTCAATGTCTTGAGGAGGGCCTCTAGAAGTGAGGTGATGTGTGGGTGGAGGGCATGATAGCACTGAGTGCCACCATTTGAGGTCAGAAAGCACTGAAGGTGGTAGTTTCCATCTCGCAAAGTGGGTGTTGAAGGAGAACTGTGAGATGAAGCGGCAAAGGTTCAAAAGGTAAGCCCTCCCGTGGGGAATGATGAAGGCGACGTGCAATAACGTCCCATTGATGCTCATGGCCTCTTTGTGAGACATAAAGGGTGAGGACGACAAGGCTCGGAGAGTGCTCTCGAGCTTCATGAGGTACTTGAGTCATTTGGGCTTGGGTAAGGACATGGAACACTTGATGAGGTCCCAAAGGAATCCAAGGTACATAAAGATCACGTTGAAGTCCGTGCACTTGTCTGGGTGCCATGGAACGCCTAGCAGGCGCGTTGCTGTGAAGACATCTAAGAGATCGAAGAGGTATTTGTATGGTAAGGGGGGGCTGTCTGGGCTGATGACGCCGCCTGCCACGGGGAATCGAAAAATGGAGTGGTTGTCCACCCATTTCTTGATGGGGGGTAATGTCCATGCAGTGCAGTATATCAACTGTGGCGTCTGCTATGTGACCTTGAACACCACCAGTGGTTGTGAAAATTGTGATCGATCCAGAACGAACCGTCAAAACTGACTACCAAGAATCTCTTGTGCAGTGGCCAAACTGGCACTGTTCGGTATGCGGCCTCAATGTCAAGGGTTGCTGCCTGAGTGCCCAGCGGTGTGGTGGCCACCTGACAGGTGGTGAGCATACAGTGTAAAGCAAGAAAGTCGCACATGCTGCGACGCGGACTGGGGTATGAGAAGAGGTGACAGCACACTACAGTGCTTTGTGCCAAGAAAAGAGCTCAGCCAGGCGCGGTCAGGTGCCTGACTAGCAACGAAGAGGTGGGCGACACCGCACAAGGTAAAGAGCTAGTCTAGGCACATATATGCACCTAGCTTTGCAATAGGGAAAGGAAGGGGCGGGTGACACCGCGAGAAAAGAATGTGTATGAGTGCTACTCACTATTTCTGCGACTTGTGAGGCCGTGCCCAAATCTGTTGGGAAGTCGTCAGCGTTGAGGTGTTTGTTCACCGAGTAACCATCCTCTTTATTGCGGTACAATAAATCCCTGATGATACGAAATTTTCCAGGGGATCCTGCTTTTTCGATGAGGCCAAGGGGTGAAGAGACGAAAAACCCTCCCAGCTCGGCTTCTACCTGAGCCGCTGAGAAAGGTCCTGACATGTGATTGAGTAAAAATTCTTCAAGATATGAACGAATGACGTCTGGGTTGTCGAGAGCTGACTTGTGGTTGAGGGGAGTATAGGATCAAGTCAGGACAGGCATGTTGCCAGTGGGAAAGCCATGTCTAATGTTGTGCACAAGGTCAGGATAACGTGAAGTGAGGTCAAACTTACATCAGGAAAAACTATATCTCTATATAGAGGACCATCCTCTATATAGCCCCGATAGCACACCACAGCTCTATACAGTCTATGGCAAGCTATCACAGCACTATAGACCAGTATAGACATCATGAAAGTCTATATATTACCATAAAGTTTGGTAAGTGTATTTAGAAGTAAAACATTTCAACAACTATAGACCCCAGTAGACCGTGGGAACTTTTTTCGATGAAAACCAAAGTTGTAGTCCTTGTCTAGGGAAGTCTATCCATAGTCTTATGACTTCAATAGGTTAAGATCCTAGTGAGTTATAAGGAAAATACTCGAAATTGAAGGGTTCAAGAAAGCAACTTGACCATGGGAACTTTTTTCAATTAAATCAAAGTTGTAGTCCTTGTCAAGGGAAGTCTATCTATAGTCTAATGACTTCAATAGGTCAAGATCTTAGTGAGTTATAAGGAAAATACTTGGAATTGAAGGGTTCAAAAGTGTTAAGGTACACCTTATTTATGTAAGCAAAAATGCGAAAATTCACCTTATGTGTATTCAAAATCCTAATGCTAACAGTCAATTTCATTGTCTTTTTCTTACTGTCATAATCCTAGTCCTATTAACCAAAAACTCGAAAATTCACCAAGTCTTGTGTTGTGGCTTTGTTTGGCACTGCTTATGTAAGCAAAAATGCGGTCAACCAACAAGTCTTTTCCCATTCTTTCCTTCCCCCCCCACTGCCCCCTCATTAGATTATCTTCCATATTTTTCTTACAATTTTCGAGTTTTTGCCTCTCTTCTCTTCTTCTTGCTTCTCTATCCTTCTCTTGGTGTTGATGTTGTTGGTGCTGGTACTGGTGCTGGTGCTTTGAACTCTGGTAAGTCTCCCTCCATAATTTTCGCATTTTTGACTATTTGACTAATCTTTTTTCTAACCCTCTCCTTCTAGCTCTCTTCCCTCCTGCTCCTCCTCCCCCCAACTATTTTCGCATTTTTGACCATTTGGCAAGTCTTTTCTCTGACTCTCACTTCCTCCTGTCTGATCCTCTCCTTCTAGCTCCCTTCCCTCCTCTTCCCTCAAGAATTTTCGCAATTTTCACTATTTGGTAAGTCTTTCTTTTTTTTGTATTCATCTTTCCTCTCTGATTCTTCCTTCTAGTTCTCTTGCCTCTTCCTTCTAGTTCTCTTGCCTCTTCCTCCTGTAATTTTCGCATTTTTGCCTGTTTTGTAGTTATTAGTTTACATGTATTGTAGTAGTTGAAATATAATTTGGAATTTTCGCTTTTTTTTAATTTTGAGAACACTATCATGGCAACAAACAGCTATTAAGAGAAATTTTTGCTTTGTGTTTTGAGCTATAATAGCTACAATAGTTGTGGTATGTTCCACCCAGCTATAGCAACTTTAATAGAGCTATATAGCACTATACACTGGTGTAGTAAGCCTGCACAATTGGGCACTTGGCTATACGAGCTATAGGGCTATGGAGTCTGTATAGCAGTCTATAGCACTATGGGTGGCTATATAGCCTTACCACATTTTCCTGATGTATGCAACAGTCGTTCGAAGGCGTTGGCATGGTAGGGCATGACAATGCGCTGAAGGATACTATTAGCATGATTTTGCTGAAGCAGCATGTGATTTGCTGCCGCAGATGGAGCAGACATGGATAATGTCCATTCCATGCTTGCCCGGTGTGCATCTTCCGATGTTGTGGGAGATGCAGACGATCACTGAAGAGGACTTGAGCATGATCTTACCCTGCCAGACACAGACAAGGGGGGAGTTCTTGATGGTGTGGGTGAAGGTACAATTGCTGGCCTTGTGGCCGTTCCGACCGCAGAGAAGGTAAAGGGGTCCGTTGGACAAGATCTCTTTGCCCTTCCGAAAGGACTTCCCATCAGTGTTCAGTTGGGCGGTAGCGTCCGCCTTCAGTTTGGCTGAGTTCTGGTACGGGTGGTAGCGATTATTGCTGTTGGACCCTTCAAAGTGAGACATGAGCGCCATCAGCCTCTGGAGTTCCCTGTTCGCGTTGGCCGCAGCTTCGTCTGACTTGTCCCTGGAAATCTTCGTTAGTGTCTCATTCCAGCAACATTCATAAGCGGCATCAGTGAGCAAGGACTTTGTATTGAAGAAGATTCTGCGAGTCTCAATATTGAAGGCAAGGACTGCTGAAAAGTTTTCTTCAAAGTGTTTGCGTGACAAGCAGAATAGGCGATGCTTCCTGAATTTTTCTTGGATAGCACCTCCCGCAATACGGTTAAGTAGCTCCATGAAGTTTTCGTAGGCCTCGTAAAACTGTATGGGTGATGGTGAAGATTCTGGTGGGAATCCAGAGGTGTCCATTACCGACTTCTTGGGGTTGTCGGTGACGAGTCCCTTCTTCATGATGATGCACGAGGGGTCGTTGTGGATCTTCTCCATGACTTTGGCTGTTAGGAGCATGAGAGGGACGTGCAGCTTTGAGTCTGCAAGATTGATAATTACACGCGGGATTTCGAATATGTTGTTGATGGATGATACCATCTTGATTTCGTTGTCGTTGTATGCGAGTGATTTGCTTGCGATCGCGGAGCTTGTGGCTGCTGGGGCCAGATCTGTGAGGGCAGGAGTAGTAGCACCCTGTTGTCGTCCTCCCATGAGAGAGTCAAACGCAGATCGTGAATGCAGAGTCAATGCGTTAACAGCTCTGTACGCATTAATGAGAGGCATGTTGGTATCAACAGGGTCAGGGTTCGGAAGGGCACAAGATTCAGGGCATGGGAGATCCAAAAGGGACTCGTCGTCGGAAACATCACCTGATGTGGTGTCCCTGTGGTCAGCACGTTCACTGTTGCGGGCTATATGCGCGTCATTTTCGCACTGGATTAAGTCTCTCGAGGATAGGACCCCCCTAGACCTAACCCTGCCAATGCTGTCGGTGATTCTGTCTGCGTTGTTAGCCTGATTACCTGCATTCAGGTTCAGTGCAGTGGTGCTTTTTCCACCTACACCTCCCAGCAATCCAGAGTGAGACACGTTATTGGTCATGATTGATACTGAAGACGATTAGTTTTAATGATAATGCATTGATCTCTCACTTAAGATAAACTAGACAAGCGAGTGTGTAATGAAAGTGAGATGAAAGACGCGTCTATCAGAACGCATCTTAGTTACGTGATCACTCGAAATTAGTAAGCACTAGTTTGAGCTATTTGTTCTCAGGTTCACGCATAGCTCAAACTGCACTCGTCCTAATCCTCACCATACAGTAGCTACCTAAACCTTTTCATGTAGCAGTATCCCTCAACCTTTTCATGTAGTAGTGTTCCTAAATCTTTCAATGTAGTATCAGAGCTAAACCTTATCATAACTCCTAAACCTTATCATAACTCCTAAACCTTATCATAACTCCTAACTCCTAAACCTTTTCATGTAGTTTTGTCACCTAGTGCCTGTTTTTCTCTGGCAATATTTGAGTCATGTAAGCGATTTTTCATACAGTATCTTCGGTACTAACGAGACATGGTAGCTACTGTACAGTGAGGATTAGGACGAGGACACTCTGTGACAAGGTTTAGAACTTCTCCCATGTGAAGGTTTAGCTGAGCGGTGTTGGACAAATTAGGAAAGGTTTAGGGTCCATGTAGGTATCAAGATGATAGGAAGACGAGCACGGGGAGAGGTGAGCTATACAAAGAATGTATTATCTCAGTATCTGGAAGAGACTCAGTATACATGAATAGTACCTATACAAAGAATGTATTCTAAGGGTACGTTAGCTTGTTATCAAGAAAGAAAAGAACTATAGGGCTTACATCTCAGTATCTGGAAGAGACTGAGATGTTACGACACTGGTGTGCTTATTTTAACTACGGGTAAAGTAGGGATAGAGTAGAAATTAGTTTGAAACCTATTTGCATAGTCACTCAGCCAAACGACTGCTCATTGCACTCGTATCTATCACGATGTCAATCGTGTCAGTCCTCCTGTCCCGATTTGTCTGTACGCGACAGTAGGTAACTTATGAAAGGATGACCGTAAGGTCAAGTGCACAGCAACAACAACATTTTAGAATTGAGCATCCCTAAGGCAAATGAAAGTCCAGTGTTGCTGAATGCAAACAAAGCGGAGACTCAACTAAGCCGAGAGTGTGATTTCCCAATCTAGCCTGACCGTCACACTTTGCTCACGAATTGTGAATAGCATGCTGTGGGTGGATCTTGGATTTAGCATCAGCAAAACCCTAACCCTATGTGTAGCAAAGTCCCCCCATGTACAGTGCTGTATATGGGGGGACCTTAACTTAGGGTTTTGCTGATGAGTGTCCAAAAATCACTCATTTTGGGTACACTCGCACAATGTTTCATCTCGGGAAGGGTTCCCAGTGCCGATTTTAAATATTTGATTTGGTAGTCTTATTGAACATATGCTAATACTTGTTCTCCAGCTGTTCTGAATGAAATATATGTAGAGTGGTGAGCTCTGGAGTGCATTGTGCATTACCCATCGATTGTGCATTCCAGATCAGGTGATAGTACTAGTCTTGTCAAACTGAAGCTAGAAGCATTGCTTCTGGCGCGAATTTGGCTATGGACGGCTGACGTGGCGAATTTCGTCATTCAGCGAGAAATATAAATTGAATGGGGTTGGGTTTCAAAACCTCAGAGACACTCACCTTGTTTACAGTGAGTTACAGAATTGAAACGACATTGTATCCATTTCACTCAATTGACATGTTGCAGCTCTCCCTGGACTTGCAGCAGCCCTTTCGCGTACACCACACAATCAAATTTTTGTTGGTGTGTGGTTTCCTAACACTGACAACCATCACTGACATATAGCAATGCTAGGTACCATGAAGCCTATTCAGTTCACCTACCTCGCGATCCTCGCCGCTGTCGCTGGGGTGAAGGCAGCTACTCCCAATGAAGTCAATGGGGTCTGCTTAGCAGTGTGCTATTCTGAGGAACCTGAGTGTGGGGAGATGTTGATACCTGTCGAAACTAGCTCAGACCAGTGTTCTGCCGGTCAGTGAACCAAGGTCACAGTCACTGACCGGATTTCATGGGAAAGCTGGCGAAGTTTATCGATGTTCATCTGAACACGACTTTGAGGAGTTTCCTGGTCCCACTATAATGAACTATACTATATCTGGTCAATGCTAGAATCTTTGATTAGACATTATCTTTGTGCCGCTTCACATATCATTACTCACATAAACGCATGGTTTTCGTGTGTTCAGTTCAAGGGCACTCTTCAAGGCTTATAACTCGAAGATGGACTCCCCACTTTCGACACGCTAACTCGATGGCGAAGATCAGCAAGAGATCAAAGTCAAACCGAGGATGGTGGTGGGATCATTTTGTGGAGCACCCAGGTTATGCTGTCAAAGACCCAGCTTCGATGGTCAGCAGAAAGGCAAAGGTGGTGTGTGCAAGGCTCTATGAGCAACGCGTTGCACATGAGCAGGCAATAGACGAGCAGCAGGTTCATGCAGGCCAGCGAGATGCACCGAGGGATGAAGTGGTGATCGCAGGCACTTGTACGCAAGCCTGTTTTATAGCTTTCTTTTACTAACTTGGAGTACTAGTTTGGGCCAGTGGCCAGAATGATCCCCAACGCACCTGGTTAATCAGTCGGCCGACGACACTATTATGTCACTTGCGTGATTGCACATTGCACTCTGAGGATATCCGTTCGCAAGCATGGCTTGAATACCACCAATCATATTCACTGCGAAAAGGTGCCACTCGGGTCCTAACTCCAGCACATCTCAGTGCTATACCTCCAATCATTCTTGCCACCAGCCCACCAGATCTCAATATATCATCGACTATACAGTCTGCACGTCCGAGTTTTCCCGCATTGCTAATTCCTGAGGCTGACACAGCCTTGAGTTCTTCCAGTAGCCTTTACCGCGACTCTCTGTTGGTCAGTCCAAGTCCTGCCCTCTTGGAAATCTCATTACCATCCCATCCAAAGCGCCAACATCTAATCCAATCCGGTCAATACCACTCTGCTTCTGGCTCACTTCCGCCTCTCTCCCCCATAGCACTGGGCAACCAACTTAATGGCTTTGGCGACCAAGCTTGGACGACTTCAGATCAAGCTGATTGGGAAATCAGGCTTGCAAGACTCACCACAAGTGCTGGTTTACCGCTGCGGTGGGTTGAGAACCACAAATGGAAAGTATTATGCGACCATTTTCTCCCAAGAGCGAAAATTCCCTCTGCAAAAGTCTTGACGCAACGTGTCCTACCCCATGCCCTTAATATACTCAAAGGTACCGCTAAAGAAGAATGTCAAGGCGCTGACGCAACATTGCAATGCGACAGTTGGACTGGTGAAAATCACCATCACCTCCTGGGGTTTATGATGACTGCTCACCGAAAGGTAAATCTCACTGTGGAGACTGTCAATCATTTTACTAATTGTCTATTTAGCTGCACATGATTAAAGTTCACGATGCTTCGATGGACCCTCACACTGCTGAAGAACTTCTCAAGCAAATGTTAGATGCAATCAGCAGGATCGAGTCCGAGTGGGGGGCAAGTGTTATCGCTTGCACCACGGACGCGTCCAGTGAATCATGAAAAGCTCGGTGTCTGCTTCAAGAGCAGCTACCCCACATTGTTGTTCCTAATTGCTTGGCTCATCAGGTATGGCAATTTTCGTGATTCATCACACTTGCTGATTATGAATGACACAACAACAGTGGAATCTCATCGTCAGTGACCTTTTCAAGGTCAAAGACGACTACGGGATCTATGGAGACATGGCGCAAGAACTAATTACGTGGCTATGCAGCAAGACATGTGTGCTCACCAGTCTCCACGAAATACAGATGGCGACAATCGGAAAGATGCTCACAGTTCTCAGGGCAGTGCTGACGCATTGGATGTCTCATTATCTTGCCTATCGCCGCCTCCTTGAGCTTCGTCCTGCACTTGAATTGCTTGTAACGAAGCACGAAGCTCATTTGATATCAGGTGGAGATGCACGCTCACGCAGAAAGACTCAAACAGCCATTGCGACAATCAAAAACGCAACATTTTGGCATGCATTGGCACGGTACGGTTCAAAAATAAATGTAAAAATCAGAACTAATGCTCTCTGTAGATGGAAAACATTGCTGGAGCCGATTTCCCTCATGATGAATGTTCATCAGGCAAGACCCGAAAATGTTGCAATATCATTTGGTTTTCTGCACTTTTGCTACTCCAAGATCGACAACAGCACTGATCTGGCAGCTCGTACAGCTGTTCTTGCAAGTGTCGAGCGCCGCTGGGAACAGTGCGACCAGGAAGTCTTTATTGCTGCCATCATTGTGAATCCTTTCTATAAGGTTTCTCCATTCCGGAATGTACCCCTCACAATGCATGCGGGGCTTGCGACACTTTTTGCACATCTTTGGCGCCGTTTTTACAACACTAATGATATACCACTCAATCTTTATATGGACTTGGACGACTATTTGAATAGCTCCCATGACTTCGCATACATGGACAACTACAAGCTTTCACTGTTATATCACGCAGAAAAGGAGGTATGCTTCATCAAACTGATTGTTTCAAGTTCAGAAGACATTGCTAACAGTCCTCAGGGTGTTTCGGTCGATCCAATTGATATATGGACAGGACTGTCACATCCTGGTTCAGCACGTCGACCACTTCATACTATCACTCAACGTCTTCTCTCGATTTGCCCGAATTCCACCTCTTGCGAACACCCATTTAGCATGTTTGGCGCGATTCTCACAAAATGGCGCAATCGGCTCTCAACTGAGATGCTCACCCTTCTGGCAGAACTCAAGATGTATGTTCATGAGGAGCATGTACGCAATGACGTGGTCAAGAAGCAGCTTCAGTGCCGGTACTGTGACACCGAGGACACTGACAAAGCAGAGCCTACTCAAGTAGTTCATGCAGTTGGTGATGATCTATCAGGAGAAAGCAGCGAACGGGAGCCACGCAGCCTTGCTTTCGAGAGGCGAGGGATAAGCGATGTTGCTGCAGACCTTATCCGAGCTGTTCAGGAGGAGGAGGAGATTTCCGCCACAGAATCAATGCACTCAGTCCCTGTCGGTGCTGTCGGTGGTTCATTCTCCCACATTGCTATCAATGACTTACTTGACTATTCTCGTGCAGAGGAATGGCTGGGATCTTTTTATAAAGTCGCCATTTGAGGTTTAGATGCTGAGCTTGAGTTGTACGAGCTTCTTGACTTAGATGCAGAGGGAATTGACGATCCAGACTTTCCTCAAGCTGACGATGTTCTTGCCGAGTAGATTCAGAAAATTAGTGCTACCTTAGTAGTAGTAGTCGAGTACTATCCATTCTGCAATCGTTGACGCACCGTGTACTGCACTTTGAACATTCACTCCTGCTTCATCGTCCAATCAGACATGATTATCTAATATCCAAGCAGGACATCTGGCACTGCACGGGTTCAGTTCACTTGCATCCATAGGAAAGTTCGCAGCTGAACGTACGTTAACTTTGATGAACGTACAATGACCGGCAGAACACTGGCCCAGACTGCTGGACCTGCTGCAGCTTGCCTGAAGGCTCAGAATGATGTGTCTGAGTGCTAGCCATCCAGTTTATACTGATGGTGTATCAGATCTAGTTACACATTATGATTCTGAATGAACGATAAGATGAGTAAGGTTGTTGAAGAGGCCTGGTGCAACATACCACCTGGAAGGATGATTCATTGTTAGTGTTATGGCGGATGAAATGTATATAAGCTTACATTTTCTGATAGATGGTCATCAAGGCCAGCTTCTCTGAGGATAGCAGAGACATCCCACATGTATATGCACTTGTCGAAGCCGCCAGTGGCGAGTAACTTTCCATCTGCAGAAAAGGCCGCGCATTCTAACTTGTCTTCATGGTGGACAGGTGGTCCTATGGGCCGATTGGTTTCTAGGTTTCATAGTTGCACTGTCTTGTCGTGCGATACGCTTGCAAGGATGCGCTCATTGGGAGACAATGAAATGTCATAGACAACACCATTGTGCCCATTGAGAATAGCTGTTTCGGTCCAGGTAGCAGTGTCGAACTTCCTGATCAGGTCGAGTTCCCCGGAGATAAGGGTCTTCCCAGTCTGAGGTCCATGCCAGGCATAAAGCTTCAAGCCTACGTGTATCCTTATCTTCAACTTGTGTTTTGAACAGTTCACCTGTCTTGGAATCTAAGACTTTTATGTTCCCCATGGCCGCGCCCATCGCAATCATCGTACCAGGTGAGTAACAAACTGTCTGCACCCATGGTGACAGTTCATCCTCGAGTGACTCGAGTCCCTTGATTGTCAGGATGGTGTTACCGTTCTTGACGTCCCACGCTCTTGTTGTATGATCAAAGGATGCGCTCACCACTCTCCCTCCGTCTGGACTTCAGCAGATGGTCATTACTTTGTCTGTGCGCCCCGTCCATCTTTTAATGACTTTGACCGTGTCCATCCTCACTCCCGCTTACTACTTTCTTGCCGTCTGGCGACAGTGCTATGGCGCGTACTCCGTTACTTTCTTCGTCCTCTCAGGCATCCTCGACCTGTGTACCACTTTCCATGTCCCAAACTCAGAGTAAGCTATCTTCTGAACTGGTAATGATCCACGGTTTATCAGGCAGCCGTACAATGCCACTGACGTGTTCACTATGTCCTTGCATCTTTTGGTGAGGCTTTGTCGCTGATTTATCTTGCTTCGCAGAGGCTCGGGAAGACATGATTTTGGTTCGGGGACTTTACCTAATGCGCGGGGTACAATTTCAGCTTTTGCCCATCAAATGAATGTTATCACTTACTCAGAGTGACTTGATTTCATACCGAACGAATGCGTGCAGATTGACAACTGATACTGGAGTGGTAAGTTTTCCTTCAATGCAGAACTGAGTCAGGACGGAGGTCGTTGTTCAAATCCTCTATTCGTCTTCACCCTTGTGGTCACTCCACAGCTTAAACATAGGCTGTGAATATCAAGCGCTCAAGTTTTGTTTTCCCACAATATGCACAGTTTTTCTTATCTCAATTGCCATTCTCAGCAATGCATCTGGTAGTTCTACTATCACCCAAGCCTGCATTCCTGTGTTTCTTCTGGCCCAATGGGTTCCCCCAGTCTTTGTCTCTGCCCTTGTGCTACATTTCTGCTCAGAGCCGAACAGCACAGCCAGATCTGTCATCCTCCTTGCAAACATTGTTAAGGTCATTCATCGGTATCACCCAATGACTCACTATCATGCAGGAATGCGCTGCTCCGATCCTCTGCCATCTATTCCTTTCGTCAATTAGGTATATGTGCCGCACCACGAGCTTTGGGAGTGTCTCGCCATAGCATAGGGAAGACAACTTCAACTCTCGGCTGCCTAGCTGACTTCAGGAGCTCGTCAAGTTTCATCCATATCCAAGAGGGTCACTTGCTGCGCAAGAGGATCTCCTTCCCTATCCTCGCTTCTCCATGCGAAGCTGGCGGTGCATGTCTCCATGTGCATAGAGTTCCCCCTCCTAGAGTCTGTGCAACAGCCCAAATCGTCCCCCATTCAGCTCTTAGATCTATTCGACCTACTTGCGAAGGTAATACCATTGGGTAAGTTGAGTTGCGCCACCCCTTCCACCGAAAGCATCTCTACATTCTGGACGACTGGCAGTAAACATGTTTACGGAGATTGCTAGAAAAATACTTTCCTTCATCAGGCCCCAGTGTCATTTTGATGCAAGAATTCATTGCAGTTGTAGGGATGCAGTGATGCATCGAGCGCTGCAGTGAATTTTCTGTTGCAGTGATGCATTAGTGACACATCAGTAATGCACTCTGATGCATCAGTAATGCACTCTGATGCACTAGCATCAGCAATGCATCAAACCGAAAATCGGGAATCGTCCCACGGTCATACATGAATCAACAATACCGCCAGGTACTGGTCTACATCCCGCCGCCAGCTGCTCGCCGTTATACACTGCGCGCGAATCCCTCTTGCAGCCCTACAGCTGCACAATGCCCCCGGGGTCATATGTGAATCAACAATACCGCCAGGTACAGGTCCACATCCCGCCACCACCTGGTCGCTGCTATACACTGCGCACGAACCATCCCGCCGCCAGCTGCTCACCATTATATACTGCACGCAAATCCGTATTGCAGCCCTGCAGCTGCACAATGCCCCCAGGGTCGTGTATGAATCAACAATACCGCCAGGTACAGGTCCACATCCCGCCACCACCTGGTCGCCTCTATACACTGCTCACGAATCATCCTGCCGCCGACTACTCGCCGCTATGCGGTGCGCACGAATCCCTCTTACAGCCCTGCAGCTGTACACACCTGCCTGCTGTACTACCCTGCGCATATATCCCTCTTGCAGCCCCGCTTGCCACTACACCTTTGCCAATATACCCTTTCTTGACTTCACCTTCAGTATGCGAGCCAGACATCTCTGTGTATGGTCGCTCTCAGGTGTGGATCCACACTCCTTGGAAACCTTTGGATGGGCTTGGGTGGGCTAGAGACACCCAGTGGCCCATATCCATATCAATTGCAAATTCAGAATCAAAATGAGCGTCGAGGCACTTTGAAGTTTCCCTGGCACACCGACTGGATCCAACATATGTGATTTATGTACTAGTTTGCAGCCTCGAACTTCAGGGATCACTTGTAGTATGTTTGCCACGTATCTCATAGTTCGACATAGTATTCTACCTCCAGTGAATCTTGCAAGCACTCCATATACTTGGGGATTAAATGACAACACAACTATATCCATTGATCACCCACACAGAGACTATATGTACTACTTAGCGACAAATATTACTATGAACAAGAATGAAATGATTAAGTAGAGAAGCAAATTTTCGATCATGACATGAAGACATAGGCTCACGCCTTCGTTCGGTTTTTCCTGTGTCCGTTAGCATTGAGCAAGTGAGGAAGATATCGAAGACGTACTTTGCAGAAATCACACCCTCCACGGTTGAGTTAGCGGGATGCTTCATTGCCCTAGCATCCTCTGAAACAGATTGAGTTTCCTTACCAATGCTAACAAATGTCAGACCATCTGACCCAATGGTGTCAGCAATATCATTCTGCTTGGATTTGATTGGAATTCGTTTTGAGGCACGTTGAGCTACAGGATTGCCTTCATCCACAGCGGTGTGCGATGTCTCCGTTAATTTGGCGACAGGTCTTGCTTTGGGTTTGGGTTTGGGTTTGGCAGTGTTCATGGGTGCGATGATGGGGGTGGACTCCATGGCGGGATTGTGTTTGACTTTGGTAGCGGGCTTTGACTTGAATTTGTGCTTTGACTTAGCAAGACCAGCACCAGCGTGAGTGTCAGCAAGATCCTGTATGCCCTCGGTCGGAGAAGGAGGATTTGCTGCTGGAAGAATGGGCAGCTGTTGAGTGAACTGAGGAAGGGTGTCATCCTGCTCAGTTGGCGAAGGAGGATTTGCTGCTGGAAGAATGGGCAACTGTTGAGTGAACTGAGGAAGGGCGTCATCCTGCTCAGTCATGGCAGTGCTGCGCTTGGCAGATATTGGAGAGCTCAAGCAGGAGGACAGGCTACGCATCTCCCACCCCTGTGAATCAGAATTGGCACCATTCCACGTGTGCGTGTCATATTGTGTGTCAAATGAGGGCACTGATGAGCTGAATGCGGGGGAAAATAAGTTCTGCGTGGTGTTGTTGCTACCAAAATAACCCAGTGCCATAAGATCAGCATGGGAAAAAGACAACCCAAGCGCCTCGACAGTACCAGGCACACTGGATTGCAGCGTGCTAAACGAATTGGGAGGCACGGTGGCAATGTTGTCCCATGCGTGTTTGAGCGATGCATCAGGCTGGGCCTGTTTGAATGATGCATCAGGCTGGGCCTGTTTGAACGGTGCATCAGGCTGGGCCTGTACGAATGATGCATCACATTGTGCCTGTGTCTGCAAAGTGTTAGATTAAATAGGGAGAATAATGAAAAGTACTTACCTCAGAGTAGAGTGCGGATTGATTGAGTTCACCGAGTGGTGATGCATCACTGATTCCGGTCGAGGAACTTGCGAAGCCTGTTATTGATGCATCAGTTTGCATCAGGTGGCTGCAAAATGATATAAAGACCTACCTATATTATCCCAGTCGATGGAATCACCATGTTGTCCTTCGTCATTCTCTTCACCATCCTCGAATTCTTTGCCACTGTTGCATCCTTCGAGCTCCTCAGTCTGATCGCCATCTTCGACATCTGGCAGCAGTGGGTTATGCTTGTTCGGAGCTGATGGTTGAGTCTTATGGTGAGCCTATAGTGACTTGGACAACAAGGATTAGCTTACGGAATATCAACTCAGCGTATTCCTGGTATGCGGCAAGGAAAGTGTTGTCCTTGTCAGGGCATAACTGAGAAAAGTCGTTCCCAGCAGGAGTTTCTGATGGATGGCACCTTAGTAAGGTGAGCTTGGTAGTCAGATTTATGGTTTGGTGCACTTACAATAAAGTTACGATATTCCAATTCTGCCTCAGGTCCGGTCCAGCGCACATGAAGGAGACTATAAATCGAGTCTTTTTCTTGATGAGGCGTGCAAAGCGCTGGCATATGATTGGTAAATCGTCGATACCTCTATAGGCCATGTAAGTAACATCATAATCATAATCATTAACTAGTACTTACTTCACAATGGCATCAGTGTCGGTTTCGTCGTCGTCGTCGTCATCGTCAGCTTTATCGTGTAGCATGTCCTTCTTTACCTTTTTCTGCTTATTGTACTTCTCTCTCACCTCCTTCTTCACCTCGTCTGACTCATCTTCCAGGAGCTCTTTGCAAAACTTTCAGCCCAATGCCATGCGGCGACCAGCTGTAGCTACATTACCTGCCTCTTGTTCAGCCGCTACTAGAGGTTTGATCCGTTCATTGTAGACCATATCCATGTAGATTTCTTCGACAGATTTTGCGCGCGACTTCGGCAGCAGTGCGCTTTCAAATACGGAGATTTCCTTCTTGAGGCCACAATTTTTCTTGGACGCGTTTGTCCGCCAATGGAACCAGGTCTGCAATCGCTACCAGGGTTTTGGTTAGCAGTCAAAAGTTGTCAAAACATTCGACAACTCACTACTTTATGCGTTTTTTCGGCAGCAAGTTCTTCAGCTTGTTGCTCTTCTGTTAGTGGTATTTCGATGGGGATATCGGGGAAGAGGGCGGCTCGCTCAGGCCAACTTTTAAACCAATAAAGATGAGTCTTGGCCCAGAAGTGTGCGTAGTCCTTGTCCTCGCTGTGTAGTGCAATATACTCCAGCAACTGTTCATGGAGCCATTTGTATTGTTCCTTAGTAGTCCACTGAGCTGCTGGCATCTGTCATAGGATTTTAAGTCATATACCATGTTAAGAGTGTCGCTATCATACCTTTGTTTTTCTTTGCGCAATGATAGACAAGTGTGTCCCTCTACCAATGTCTATGCCCGTCCTTATATCATTCCACTGGCATCTGATCAGAGCTCATTGAAAATCAATATCGGCGAATGAAAAAGGAGGCTAATTTAGCTGGCAATGACTTACTACAGGATCCGATTGCAGGACAGTCAAAACAAAAACAGTGGTACCGGTACCAGTCTGTTCTGGCACCAGTCGGTGTCTCTGGGTGGATCAGGTAATGAGGGTACCGAACTGAGTTTAGCTAGCAAAGACTTACTACTGGGTCCGATCACAGGAAAATCAAAACACAAATGGTGGTGTCAGTGCCAGTTTGTGTGTCTAGGGCCAGTCTGTGTGTCTGGTGGATCGGGCAATCGTTCATTACAAACTGAATCAAAGTGAAGTGTGATAAGGAGTGAGTTGAGTGAGTTGATGAACATTGATCTGGTTTGATCAAGGTGAGCTCGGATGATGACATGCATGAAAGAGTGACTTCACCTGTGCGCGACATGTTGATCAGGGCATACGCTAAAAGGAAATGCATTCTGACTGGCTCTAAGCGAAGTGAAATAAGGAGCACAACACCGACCTTGTTCGATAAAAGTGAGCTCAGATGGATAGTGTGCACAGAAGAGTGGCTTTACCTTTACCTTTTGTTGACTGGGGCGTACACTGAAAGGAAATGGTCATCCAAAGAAGGAATGCGGAACGATGGTACTTACTGCCAACCAATACCAGAAAAGAGTGTTAAATCCCGCAGGTGATCTTGGTTGCGGGTGAGCTTATAGTACACTTACATAGAGCATCACAAATAAGTACAGAATCTTGCATCGGGCAAGAGACTCACTTGGATATTGAACATCGGAATTCAGCGTTTGCATGAGCCACTACTTTGCGATAAGTACATTTGTCATATTGGCCAGCTACTAGAGACTCACCTGGACGACATCAGAAGTTGGCAGATGCTGGTACCAATCCAACACAGTGCGCAAAATCATGAGTGAGGCAGCAGTAGTTATAGAGTTATTGAGTGATCAGTATAGTAGTTCCAACATGTGCACGGTTGAAGTGATTGAAGTGATTGACTTGGAGCCTAAAGCGGCAGTGCAATCGCCGAGTTACAAGTTCAACATATGAGCTAAGACTCAGCTTGTGCTTTACTCAAATCTAGCTATTATCCAGACCACCGCGCAAGTTAGAACCCCCGCAGACATACTCTGAGTATCTATCAAGCATTGAGTTGTAAATCTCCCAAAGTTAACATTGTGGCTAGTGGTGTTATTACAACTTAGTAAGTTACTCCATGCATTGCATCTGATGCCAACTGGAACATCTTTGCTTTCAGCCCAAATGACCAAGACTGGAACATGGGCACCCAAGACACCTGGTCCAGCAGTCAGTTTCTTGGCTCTGCGACTCCCAGAAATCAAAATATGTAACTGGTTTAGTTGGTACGTTTAAATTCCAGCCACCATTTTTGGCCTCTAATCTGAACCTCGGTACTGTATCCGCCAATAGATCAAGCTGTAAAATCAATATACGAAATATGGAATCCTCAGGACGTCCCTTTCGTTTTTTGACATCATCTCATCTGGCTGTGACTACCCCTCCACCAACTCCATTCTTGCATCTCTTCCCAGCATTTCACTCCACCGGCGTAATACTCAACTTTCCTCTCGCATATCTCCAATGATACAGCCATCTCCCATGCCCGCCCCATACATCAATCTATGTGATCAACAGACATTTTTGTTATTCACTGTGCGTACTGTAATCTTATCACTAAGACTACTCCTGACATCATTGTCTCGCATTAACCATAATGATGCATTGGTGATGCATCCGGTGACCCACATCTGCGATCTCCGCACTGGAAATCAAATTTCTCAATGAGTGCATCATATCACTGTTTTAAGTCTAATCAAGTTTACTAGACGCTGCTACGTTATTCAGGGTGAGTGGTCCGCCATATCATTAATGGCGGTTCATAAGGCTAACTCAAAAATCACTGCAAATACCAGTCTCCCTTGCATTGACCACCACTAATATGACATTGATGTCAATGCTCGTGACCCAGGGTGAGTAGTTCACTTTATGAATGGAAGGTGCTTCCCAGGCTAATCCAAAAACTACAGCGCATTTGAGTCCCACTCCCAGGATACCTCTCAATGAACGATCCGCTGATCCTCTTTGGATCAGTATTACTACAACACCCTACATGACCGAACCAGAGGAGTCCGTGACTGTGCACGAGGGCAGTATAGAGTTTGAGGAGGCCACGAATGCTATGGCGGACGAGTGCTTTTTATATTTATATGAAGGAATTTTCTATAACATGCCTGCCCAGCGCAATCTAAAACCCCCTTTTTATTGTGTTACTTGGGGCCGCTACATCGGTGTTTTTCCGGCATATCTCTAGTGAGTTTTCACGTTCTCATTAATATTTTTTATACTTAACACCTACCATAGGAATAGTGTAAAAATTGAACTCTGGACACCAGGCAATTATGTTGCTACCGTCTTTGTGGTTCAGTCACTTGTTCTGGGAGAACAGGAGGTTCATCGTGCCATCAGACGTAGGCTCACAGCGAGCAGGTGACACACTAGTAGGTTTGATACTATACTTCGTTTGGTAGCATTTGCTGACATCTCGTTAGGATTAGAGTTATGGTTATGCGGGTGTTGCTCAGTCTACAGTTGGGACTAGTTAGTTATGGGATGATGTTGTACTACGAGAATGCCAAGTACTAGTCATTTTGAGAACAATGCATTGACATGTTTGGGCAATAACCCTAACCCTAAATGTGCAACACTACGGTTTGGTCAATTGTGCTGTCGTGTTGGTAATCAACATTGCAACATTCAACGACGAATGTCTACAGATCCTCCTTGTGCCGGGGAATCTTCAATTCAGACTATTGTATGCACTCCGGCAACATCCGCAGCACTGAAGAAGTTACAGAAACGAAAGAAGAAACCCAAGCTCAATTTTTACTGCTCAGCCACCTTGGTGCCGCCTTCTCGCCAGCATACCCAATATGATGTTCATAAAGATGGGACCATTGGCTATACACTGAAGCATCTTCGACCTCCCAAGAACGCTAAAGCAACCATCAAGAATCTAACTCATACTGCACCGACTCTGCACGATGTGCCGTTTTCAATTCCTGAGCCATTCAATGATCTCCCGCCCGAAGTATCATTGGACTTTTTAGGTGAGGAAAGCAGAAACTGAGGAGCAGGTGTATGTACACTACATTATTCTTTGACTTTTTCCTTATCGTGCTTACCGTGATTATTTAGGATAATCCTTTGCTGATGTGGTTGAAGCACCAAGGAATATTCCTTCATGAATTCATCCGTCTCAAAGGGAGATGTGGCCAAGCTGGCGCTCAGTCTTGCTTGGAATGTAATCGTCCCAGCCTGGAGTACCGGTGTGAAGACTGCTTAGGGTCAGAGCTTTATTGCACAACTTGCATCTTGTCGGCCCATGTGCGCCACCCACTTCACCAATTGCAGGTACATTTTCATATTTGATTGGGAGAGTTGGACATGAAACTAATATAAGATATCGATGCAGAGGTGGAACGGTCAATACTTTGAGCAAACCTCACTGAAAACCCTGGGCCTTCGCATCCAGCTTGGCCACACCACTGGCCAGAAATGTCTTAATCCTCAGCGTGCATTTAACGACAATTTTGTCGTTGTCGACACCCGTGGTATCCATGAAGTGGCCCTTGACTTCTGCAATTGTGCAACAGCTGAAAGCCACGTGCAGCAGCTGCTTAGAATATCCTGGTTTCCTTCGACAACATCAGATCCAAAAATGGCCGCAACATTCTCTGTTCTTGAGCAATACCACTTACTCTCTTTCGAGTCAAAAATATCTACATATGAGTTTTATCACGCGCTCAGGCGGATGTCCGATAACACTGGCCTACTTCCTGTCAAGGTAAATTCATATTTTCAAGTACCTTTGCAGTTACTCCAGCTGCCCTACAGGATCGATACGAGTCGTTTTTGCGAATGATACGCGAGTGGCGCCACTTGAAGATGCTTAAGCATTTGGGGCAAGGTCACGAGGCTAGTGGTATAGATGGGACAGCTGAGGGTGAATGTGCCATATTGTGCCCAGCGTGCCCACACCCAGGGAAGAACCTTCCAGCGGATTGGAAAGATGCCCCTCGACAGTAAGTTTAGAGCAAGCTTCAGTCCAGAGTAGAATGATTGCTGATATAGGTACTGTTGGGTGGTTATACGGATTATTCCTCGCGATTGATGCAAATTTCCGGTTAAAACGCAAGGCTGTCTCAAATGACAATGTTGACCCAAGCCTGAGTCATGGCTGGGGTTATTTCGTGGAGGAAGATGCTTATAAAGGCTTCTTGCATGACAGTGTGGACAGCATCCAAGAGGTTAGTTAGTTTTATTTATTCTATTTGTATACTCACATCTATCTTTTGCAGAAATCAACGTGTTCAAGTCACGCCGCTGTAAACATGGCTGATACAAAATCTAACCGCGGACTCGCCGTTACTGGTTTAGGTACAATCGATTGTGCTCGCCACAACATGAAAAGGCCTAATGCAGTGGGGGATCTCCAAAAGGGTGAAAGGTAAGTCGTCATTTGCATTTCACGCAGTTGACAATCTAATGCGGGCACATAGATATATTAATATGGACTATCTATTCTTCTCGACACTTCGCCATACCGTACTCGACACTCTCAACGTATCCTATGATATCGTGTGCCAGTGGCACAAAAGATTATGGCACCGTATGAGTGCCTTTCCGTTTTCAATGCACCTCTCACATACTGTCAAGACCGTCTCATTTTTTGTGCCCAAGTTCCACCTACCCGCTCATATCGAGCAGTGCCAAACCTCCTTCTCGTTCAATTTCAAGAGCAGGGTAGGAAGGACCGACGGAGAAGCGCCAGAACGTGGCTGGGCTAATATTAACCCTGTTGCTTCAAGCACGAAAGAAATGGGTCCTGGTGCACGGCGAGACACCCTTGACGACTACTTCGGAGACTCGAACTGGAAAAAACTTGTTGGACTTGGTGCGTCTATTTTTGTCAAAATAATACATTAACTTACATTTTATCAGGTAGTACTATGCTTCGCAAGATGAAGGATGCATTGCCGGAGCGAGAGAACCATCGTGAAGCATTCGAGGACCTTGATGATGGCTTGCGAGGCGAATACGGTGCCACCCTCAAACAGTGGAGAGAACAGGTGGAGGCTTGGGAGCGTGACGCTGCACAGCCCAATCCTTTCGAACGAAAGGCAGAAAGTAAGTACGAGTTTGTGATGGTAATACTTATGTGCTCATCTTAATCCTCCGTATATCACAGGTATCACTATGGCTTCTGTACAACTGGAGCTGGCTAGGGAGGACCAGATTGACCTTCAAACAGGGACTTACCTTGCCCTACACGAGGATTGCACTCCCAGTGTATTAATCAGCACTGGCTTAGAACTCGAGGAACAACAGTGAGTGTCCCAATCATTGCTTATCGGACCTCGTTCTTACTTTGATAGACGGCGAATGAAAGCAGACAGAGCTGACCTCGGAGTCCACGCGACGGACAATCAAGAAGGAAAGATGCTTCAGCGAAGCAACACTCTCCGACGGAGGATTGACACCTGGGGGAAAATGCAGGAACTATACATGCCTGTTTCTCGCTGCACTACGTGCGAGCGAGGCCTCAGTATCTAACAATGTGGCCGCTGCACCAGAAGCCATCAAGTTGTGGCTGCCTGTCCCATATTAGCAGGACCTCTCCTTGTGACACCCGTCTCCAAGCCATTGAATGGAAGCTGCGGTATGGGCAAGCTCATGACGCCCTCCGTTCTCTACATTCGAACTTACGTGCTCTGACTGCGATCCTCAAGTATAAGGATCGGCACCTTCGTGGGCAAGGAGCGAACACACGGGCACGGAATACATTGAAAGCCGTTGAAGCAAGGATCGAGGCCGCTGCCAGCACTTACGAGCATGCACGTAAATCCCTCGTTGTTCTTGCACCACGAGTGAATCAGACCCAGTCCGGGTGGCACTCGTCACTGCGGCCTGCTAGACCGAGCTGACATCCGCTCGATGACAGACATACTATGGGGAGAATCGGAGGGAACGAGAAAGCTGTCATGGATTTGGAGTATGCGGGGAGCAGCTCCCAACGAGATGGACAATGACAATACCTTGGAAGGTAGGCGGCTCCTCATTTTTGCTTCCTAGCCAGGCTCACAGTAGATCAGACATGCGAATAGAGTGGTGCAAAGCCCGGGCACGGGCGATGCGCTGGGCAGAAGAGGTGGAATTGTTGAAGGAGGAGATGCGAAGGATTCTGCAGTTTTTTGAGTGGGATGCGCAGCGCTGGGACGAGCGGGGCCTGGGAAACGCACTACAACTTGACGATGCAGATCAACACGAGGGACAGATGGCGTATGCCAAACGTCAAGCCGTTTTACGTCGAATGCTTGCCGAGTCTTTCAAGACCAGCTGGGCTGACACCATGGCTCTGGTGGACACATTCGAAGACATGGACTTAAGCACATAAACCTTAGTTAGAATTTCGGTCACTCAATACATGTTAGCGAGAGTTGGTATCAAAATTGCATTGTTTGAACAACAAGTTATGGCGCAAAACAGCAACAGCAGGCACAAAAAAGAGCAAAGGCTCGAAATGGCAACAGCGGGCGCGAGACAATGGGCGCACAAAAGCGGGAGGAGGGCGGCATGCGGGCGCACAAAAGCAGGAGGGATGCGAGGAGGGCGGCATGCGAGAAGGCACCGAGGGCGGGTGGGATGCATGATGCATCACAGTGCATCAACCTGGAGGACTGATGCATTAGCAGACGGAGAAGGTGAGGGGATGCATCAGAACTTAACCTGGAGGACTGATGCATTAGCAGACGGAGGGGAGGATGCATCAGAAATCAACCTGGAGGACTGATGCATCAGAAAGCGGAGGGGATGCATCAGAAAGCGGAGGTGGGAGGGTGGTGGTACAATTGCACCAATGATGCATCACTGGAGTGCTACAGTTGCACTGTTTGATGCATCAATATGACACGAACCTGTCTGTTGCTAGCTCATCAGGGACGGGCAATTTCCTGCCTTTACGAAAGCATGTTATGGTCAGCCTTATTGCATGGAATACCCTGAGCGATTGTCTGAATTTAAGTGCTAGTCTGACTCCTGACAAAAATGTGTCAATGGACAAAAACAATGCTATGCTACTTTACCGCCATCTCCAGTTTTGCATGTAAAGTGCCATCCCAGTCTGCATATATGGTGTTGCTACAGGAACAAACAGTTCAAGTAGTCAAACACGTCAATGGACAAAAAAAAACGGTACGGGCATATCCTAGCGGAGGAAAAGTAAGGGAGAATGCTTACCCATTCATATATCGGCCAACTACCCAACGAGCCCCAAACTGTAGTGACAGCCTTGCTCGGTTCAATGCCCATATATGTTCGAGGCCTACGTATTAGCTAACCGGAGCAAAAGATAATCCCATAGAAATAATAAAAGGTATTGGCAAGTCTCGCTTTGAATAGGTCGGAAGAATAAACCTACCCCTCAGGTATAAGCGTGCGCGAATCCTTGAGCGATACACAGATAGGTGCCGGGATCGCACAGCCAGGCCATTATTAGAAGTACAGCGTCTGGATGCATCGCAACGCTATGCTCAGAAAGACCATACTTAACATACAAAATCTCATCCACATTCAAATAAAAGTGCAACACCCACATACGTCCTGCAGGGAAAGCATATTCATTAGCGTAAGGAAAGGGGTAAAAGCCATGGGCAAGGACCACATACCCCCGGCAACGAATTCTACGGCCAAGTCTTGTGTGATACGAAGGTGTTTCTGGAACAACTTGAAGCGGAAAGAAGCAACGAATTGGTTCTCGCCTAGCCCATCTCCTTCAGACACTTCAATCTCATCTGGGGGACAACACAAAAAAGCATCTCAAAGACCCATCCTTGGCTGCCAGTGATAGTGTATCATGAATTAATCTCCGGATATAAAGTACCATAAATTTACGATTGATGATGCGTCTCAAATTTAGTTGCGTGAACAATGCATGATCGCTAGCTATCATGCATGCAAGACGCAGGTCGAAAGTGCAGTTATATTTGGAAATGTGTTTAGTGAACGCCGAAAGAGCTTCTCGCAGGTTATTCACAATCGCCCAATACAGCGCCATGTGATCCCCAATATTGGGTTGTTACAGGAGGTCGGAAAACTCTGCTGCTGGGAGAGTAGCAGCGCACGAGTCAACGATCTGGTCGACAGAGCAAGTGGTTGGATCAGGAGATGAGACGATTTCACGAAATCGAACAGTGGTACGACATTAATGCATCGGGAAAAATTTGGATGAGAACTGAAGCGAACATACCTCCTGTAGTTCTGCCGTATCCTCCCTACCCTGTAGTACACTCTTCTCATCAGTGATACGACGTTTCTGCTTGGATCGTAGAGAAAAAAATAGATCGTTTGCCTTGGACGGAATCCCTCGAAATTTCGTCGGACGTGGGTGAAGTGTCATCGAAGGTTTTGGACTTGGCAGCCATTCCATTCTGGAGCTTCCTAGAGGGTGGCGGCGGCGAAGGACTTGGGAGTCGCTGGGCTCCGGAACTCTGCCTTTATAAAGAAGATAGGAGCCTTCCAAGCATGATATAGATCGGGAAGTAGGGGTTGGTTAGTCTCCCCTAATAGTCTGAATCGTGCGTGTGATTGGCTTGGAGTTCATCATGGAGTGCCTGATTTTGGGATGGCGAGAGGACCTGACTCAACAGTTAGGCAGACATGCTGTCTTCCGCAACCTGTTAAGTCAGGTCTCGCGCATAATCTAATGTGTCGAGTGAAAGCTTGGAATGAGACAGGTACTGGAGTGCTGACAACGATGAAAAGAGACGAGATCCAAAACGACAGTTCCAGTGCCGCATTTCACAAACAACAAAAGCACGACGTTTAAATTTACCATTCGCAACGCGCATATACACACATAAAACCAAAAATCTTCCAAGATACAAGTAAAAAAGACACGCCCCGAGGCATACGTTAAGCACAAGAACATACCAAACAATTACAAGTAGGGGTCCGAATCATCTCACTGACTGCCAAGACAAAACGATGGGAGCTTGCTACATACAATAATTATGACGCGAATGCCAATGGACAATGGACAAAGAACAAAAGATGAAGAACAAAGAACAAAGATCGTAGCATATGCATTACCACACCACGGGTCTCGCGTACATGCCGCTTGGGTAAGCGGGAGCAGCGAGAGGGACCCATGATGTCGGTGGTGGTGGTGGGGGCGCTGCGCGGGCCGGGACGTATGTGAATGGATAGCCTGGCGCATGTGGGACGGGGTAGAAGGGTCCAGGCTGCGTGTGGGGCTGTACAATGAAAGCCGCGTCTGGAAATGAGGGCGTTGCAGGGAACGACGAGCGTGCGGCGCTGCTTGGGAACAATGCTTTGACGGTGGGCGTAGGTGATGGGAGCTCCTTCCACCCGGTTCTCCCTGGCGTGACGTGGTTGTCGGGGTTGAGGGGTGGGTCTGGATCAGTGGTGTGGTCCTTCGCGGAGCCGGAACCCTTTTTATCTCCCGCGTCATTGGGTGATGCAGAGGGTCCTGATGGAAGTGGAGTGTCGGACGAAGATTTGGAATGATTACGAGGCCTTCCTTTCTTGCTGGCTACGGGAGTGGCTCTCATCTGGTCCACGATGACTCTTGTCTTGGAGGCCTTGCGCGACTGAGCATCTGACAAGAACTGCGGGAGACGCGTCGATGACAACCGTGAGGCAGGCCGAGCGGCATCAAGACGGGCTGAGCCGGGTGGTGTGACTGATGTGTAGAACCCTTGGTCGTCCTTTTTCAGGCCTGGAGGAAGGTACTGGTAGTTACCATTGATAGCTGGAAAGGCAAAGTTGACTGGGGTGGGAGACGAGCTCGAGCGTGAGCTGGAGTCGGGTGAGGGGGATACCAACGGGGACGAGAATTTGGATGGCAGGCCTGATTTGGGGGTAAAAGTTTGTGCAGAACCATTGAGAGCCTTGGGTGGAGAAAGACCACGGTCATCCAACACTGGGGAAGGCTGATGTACCTCGACGTCAGAGAATGCACTCCTTTGTGTAGGGGTGGAAGGGAGCGTATCAGAGTCGGTAGACGGTTCTGAATCGTATTCCAGTGAGGAGAGTGAAGACTGGGGACGGGAAACTAGATAGAAGGCATGAAAATGATTCGCAAGAAAAGTGAAAATCAGCAACGCACCGTCAAGGTCGGAGGTGGATATAGCCCGAGACAGCCGGATATCCCCAACTAGATCCCTAGCGAGTTCAGCCCACTGAGACCTCGCAAACTCGACCTCCTCCTCGTCGATTTCGACTGACAACTCCACCCGACTTGTAAACAACTCGTCCAAGCTAATTTCAGGCATGATAGAGTGAGTGCAACCAGAATCCAATTCGTACGACCTCAAAATCTCTTCTGCCACTTTGACGCCAATGAAATTAAGATTGAGTGACTCGGAGAGTGGCCATTCGTCGTCGGAGTTATGTGGCAAGGATGTCGGATCTTGAGATGGCCCATATGGTTTAGCTTTACAAAGAACCTTATAACGCCGTCTTGGACGGGAAGTCCTAAGTAGGGCACCATGATAATGGGGTGGCTTTGGATGGGAGACAGGTTTTGTAACACGAGAGTGTTGTGTGTCAAAGGACCAGTTGATAGATCCATACCTGATCTCCCACCAAGTAGAAGATAAAACCTCCCAAACTCCTGTGTCTTGCACTGGCTTGATGGACGCCTGCATGAAATTGAAGCCACAAAGGGAGCTTCAATCAACCTTGATCAAAAGTTAGTAGGATATAGTTGAAAATGAATGAATCGTAGACATACAAAAGAATTAACGAGCATCCGGTGAAACGCGCAGTAGAAGAAGGCAGACAAGGAGAAGTTAACCTTTGGCAAGATAATCAACGTTAAGAGGAATGATCATCGGCTTTTTTATCAACTCAAAAGCTGTTGCTAATACAATTCAACCCTCTAAATGGGGGTTAACTACTCTACACCTACTAATTGTATTAGTTTTCATATATCATCTAATACTACTAGACTGACTCACCTCCTGTAGACCAAGCTATTGCTCGTATTGGAGAACCATCGCAATTATCCAACTTCAGAGGCAACAAGCTCACAAACGGGTCCTTCAATCCAAGCACCTCTTCTATCCCCTTCAAATTCTCTGCAATCACCCCTCCCGCTCCCAGTATCACTTTGTGCACCTGACTCGTAGGAGAGCATATATCATCAGGGCTAAGCGTATCGCATCCCACAACTCTCACCCCCTTCCCCATAAGTTTCTCCGCAGCATTAAAATCCATGAACGGGTGTTGTCCATAATTCTCCTTGCCCCAGTATTGCGACCACCCAGTGCACACAAGCACAATAACCCCTTCTCGCATCTCCCCCTCCCATTTCTCCATATCCTCCCAGGTAATCATCTCCCGTTCTTTCTTCCCCCTCACATCAACGACCACCGCACGACCAACCAGTTTATTCAAGTCGTACTTGTCCACAGTTAATCCGTCCGCGATGAAATGATTGGGCGCATCAATGTGAGTCCCAGTATGAGACCCAAGCGAAATAGCAGTCACGTTCGCATTCTGTTCTGGGATAGAGGCAACTTTTCTCATCTCTAGCTTCGGGTGTCCCGGCCATATTGACATCGGGGTTTCTGTCGACGTTGTCAGCGTATGGGTGAGGTCGATCATCATCGCGGTTCAAGTTGTATCTCTCAAACTGTGGGAGCAAGGCTCTTCAGTTATGTATGGAACGGTATTACCTCTAACATTACTAATTTACGGCTTCAACACATGTTTTTTACATACGATAGTGACTATTGTGAACGTTCGGAATCGCGGATGACCGGACAGGGTGCGACCATTCGCATTCTTCTCTCCATCTTGATATATACCGATACCGAGGTGTGTCCGTTTCCTTGACATTCAGCGTGTCACAGGTGCTCTTTAGCTTCTAAGCGTTCAGCGCTCATTCCTTGCTGCCCGAGTTCCGTGCGAGTTTCATATCTTTCATTGCAAACGCACTCGGATCTGGATTGGAACATTGTGATCAGATACGGTAAGTCGCAAGAGCACTTTGGTCATGAGATCCCCTATATTTGTATTCACGACAAGAATGTACATTCATCTACTTACATTTCTCCTTCCAACCATATGCCCGTACAGGAGCCCCATCCGCACCATACAAATTGATAGGCACAAGGCTCACCCACACTTCTCCCTCTTCTCCACCCACAAGCTGCCCCAGATTCACCAGATTCTCGCATATCAAACATCCACGACCCAATAGCACATCATGCATCACAAACGCATCCTTCCCCTCCTCTCCTTCTTCATGCACTAGAACAGTCTCATCCGGACTCAGCGTATCAACACCCACAAGTCGCACACCCATTTCCGCAAGCTCCTCCGCCACATCTCTCCCAAAATAAGGGTGATCAAAGTACTGCCGCTCGCCCCAGAATCCGTCCCACCCCGTCCAGAACAACACCATATCGATCTTTCCTTCCGACCGCGGGCCAAGGGAAGCGATCGTCCCGCGATTAGTAGCCCTATCGATACTCTCTTGTACATCTCTCCACTCAATACACCCCCTCGCCCGTGCTAGGTGCCTCACATCGACGACCAAAGCACGCCCCACGAATCGCTCGAGAGCAAGCTCGTGTAACTTCTGGCCCTGAGCGAAGAAGTGGAATGGGGCATCAACGTGTGTCCCGGTATGTGTACCGAGCGAGACCGCATGCACGGTATATCCGTCAGTAGGAATACTGCAGACGCTATGCATCGCAAAAGGCGGATCACCGGGGTAGATAGTCGTCTGTGACGTGAGCGGATGCGAGAGGTCGATAAGTGATTTGGAAGGCATTTGTGAAGTTCAAGGCGATGTGGATAATAATAGACTTGGATGAATGAATGAAATTGGACATTTCACATGACCTGCCAAACAGGGGTTATTCCTAAGAGTGTCCTTTGCACGTAGATAGATGGATACACGCAGACACCGAATGATTAGTTGTTGTATTCGTAAAATCCCCGTCCACTCTTCTTTCCAAGATACTGAGCGTCTACCATACGCTCGAGCAGCACCGAAGGTCGATATTTGGAATCCGATGTACCCTTGTAGAGCGTCTGCTGAATAGAGAGGCAAGTATCAAGGCCGATACTGTCTCCCCATGAGCGACGCAAGACAAACGATGACAATGAATGCACTTACAAATCAGCTACGGAAACCGTGCATTATCATCAGAAAGACACAATTCATCGCGCTGCAGCTACGCACCAAGCTGTAACGGCCCCATAGGATGTGCCATCCCTAGCCTAAACGTCTTATCGATGTCATCACGAGTTGCGACGCCCTAGATACAACACAGGCATCAATATAACGACCAGTCGTAAACAGTGTTGGGCCGTTACCTTCTCTAAGCACATGATGGCCTACCCTGGAATTGAACACACAAAGTACGAACAAGAGACAGTAGTATTCACCTCATTAATAAATGGCATAAGCAACGCGTTCGACACGAACCCGGGCACGTCCTGCGATGTAGCGACCTCTTAAAATGGAGCATGAACGACAGAGCCAAAGCATCCCAGACAGAAAAATGAATACCTTTCCCGCACGCTTCAGCAAATGCGCGTGAGCGGTCTAGCGTATCTTGCGACGTCTGCACCGCAGATATAAGCTCCACGAGTTTCTGACATTCCTTATCAACACCCCAGTCAAAGCGCAATAAACAAGCGCATTACCATGACAGGTACAGGGTTGAAAAAATGCAGACCTTATCACAAAAACCTTCCGTCAACAATCACCACCCACACCTATCCTAAACACTCACCAACCACCCTCCCAGACGCCGCCTTCCCCACCTCCCCCGCAGCAGACGCTCCCTCAGGAATAACAGCCCCTGCAATCTTCGTAATACTAATCGAAGACGTATTAGTAGCCAAAATCGCATCCGGACGGATCTTCGCCGCAAACTCTCGGAATATAGCGCGTTTGAGATCTAGGTTCTCGGTCACGGCTTCTACGACCATGTCTGCATCTCGCATAGCTTCGAGGGTGTCTACGGTTTGGATGCGTGCACGGGCTTCGGCTGCGTCGTTGGGTTGGAGGCGGCCTTTGGATACGTCTTTGGCGAGGAGTTTGTCTATGAGGGAGAGGCCTTTGGAGGTTTGGTGTGGGGATTTGTCGTGGAGGAGGACTGGGACTTTGGCGTGGAGGGCGGATACGAAGGCGATGCCGGTGCCCATTTGACCTGCGCCGAGGACGCCTAGTTGTTTGATTCCGTGTGCGATGGACATCGTGGTTGAGAGTAGAGCAAGACCCGAAATCACGTGTAATTAAAGTTGTCACGTCACGTTCTTCATTAATATTCTGGCTATACAAAATAAATCTATCCACTTCTTTCACGCCTGGATGCTCTCGAGGACATCGAAGCTAACAGATCCAATTCCAGCTCCTCCCCTATAACTCGTCGTGCCATGAACCACACTGCACCGATGCAAAAGCTGAAATGCAACTCACTGTAGTTCACTGTCGCGACATGCCACTCACTCATTCACACATATCAAGACGACCTACCATGCCGGTGAGTCATGTGGTTAAATCCAGGACGCAAACTACTCATACTCACCCATAGAAGGTAGCCTTGCGGCACGCATTTTTTCCCAGGGCAGCAGTTTCCGATGTTGCAATATTCATGACATTCAGTTTCAGGATCACTGGCAGGTATTGATGCTGCATATATTGATGCTGTCAGAGCAGAAACAACAGCGAGGACAAAAGAGAAACGCATTGTGTGTGAGTATGTGATATGGGATCAAATAAATTTGAAGAGGACAGTAGGAAGACAGCTTGCTTTTATGTGCTAAATATTGTTCTTCAGGACGATGTAGGAAGAACTTATCCACCCTTTTGAACAGATGTTATCTGCAATGCCAGCAGATTGCCACCTAAGATCTTGAGAGCTTAGTTCATATAGACTGTTCGACCATATGCTTGTTACGTTGTGAAGTAACTATTGGCTAGTGATGTGCACGGCCCGGCCTCAGGCCGTGGGTCAGGCCAAAGGCACGCACAGCTTGACCAAAGCTTTGATAAAGTTCCTCATACGTATTCTAAGTAACTTCTTACCCAAACTTTCACTAGTTAACATGACAGTGTCCGAAACATCAACAGCAGTCATCATTTCGATCCTACCCTGGTATGCCACAAGAGCCTCCGAAAAGGTGAGTAAAATCACATCATATTACAGACAGTGTCATTATTTTTGTTCTCCCAGGTTGTTCCTCGATTGCAAGCCGCCCCAGTCGTTGAGAAGAGTTTAATAGGTCATCGATCTGCATGTCCACGGGTAGCATGGTTTCATGGCTATCCTTGTTTGGTTATGACAAGCATCCATCGCAAGGTACCGGAGAGTCGAATCCAAGTTCGGGGAGCATCTGGAAAATGGAGCTAGTACGTGATTATAAAGATCGTGAACAACCCGTTGCACGATTTGCTTGGCTGACTGTCCATGCATTTGCAGGCCCGAGTGAGTTGGCGGAAAGGATGATTAGCTAGTACCAGGTGCAAAGTACGTCGCTTTCGAGGTATTTTTCCGTCCTTGGGCGCAGCGGGCGATACCTATATCTAACAAGCGAATGGTCTATCTAGGTGAATCCTGATGGCAGCTTCGAGAATGAATTCATCATGCGCCTCTGTGTTGCCATCTCTGGGGTAGTCAGTCGGGATCGCGCTTATGGTATGTGGGTACGCATGAGCAAACGGCGCGCATCACATTCTCTCACGTTTCTTGAATTTTATCAAGGACGACTTGTGCGTATGTGCATGCTAGACTACTACTGCAGTTACTAATCACCGCAATACTTGATGTTGCAGTCCTAGTTAACGACTGTTTGCTTCCCTCGTGCTGTAGATGACATCCATTGGGAAATATTGGATGTCATTTTCAGGGTGAGGGCGTAACACGCATCTGTTGGTCCTATTGTCTTATAAAGGCGGACTTCTCCTATACAACGCTCCACAATGGATGCCAAATCCGAAGTCTTCGATGATACTAACTGACTGCCCTCGTACGACGAAACCTCGAGGCCTGTTTGTAAAGAGGAACTTCGAACCACAGTTCTATCTCGCATTCGTGATAATATCTCCTCACCTGATACCACCCCTTCCTCTATCGCCCCCATTCTCGATTCCTGCGCTGCTGTTCTCCCAGCAGAATTCACCAACGTCCTGCAACAGCGCACATTGAGGATTACACTGCGCTGTATTGGGCGATTGTAAATCACCGACGAGAAGCCCTTTGAGCATTTATTAACTTCATTTCCCGCATCTCGTAGGTCTGCACTTACGACTTACGCCTTGCGTGCGTGACAGTTAACGACCGCGCATTGTTTATGGAGTTGAAATTGGGAAGAAAAATCAATCGTGAGTGCATGGTCCTCAATGCTACGAGAGTGTGTTGATTAATTCATTGTGTACTAGCAGGCAAGGATAAGTCTTGTTTTCCGTGCAAGGAATCTGCTGAACCAGACCTCGAAATTTCGTCATACGAGGGTAGCGCCATAGGCGGCCCATCAGTGAACTGATGAGCCGCAGATAAAATCTTATATGACGATATATCGTCATATATAGAACTTCTTTCCTTTAATTGGAATATAAAGTCATGTAAAACGCCGTAATCGACGTAAAGTACCCTGGGTAGACTCCCAAGTTCTCTGATGAGTATCATCAAAGGCTCTGGACCTTGCAGCCATTGCTTTCTAGAGAGCGAGGGCAAAGGAGACAACGAAGTTCAAGATCTAACAAGAAATAAAGAGATAGGGGCCTACCAACAAATCAAACACGTGTTCCAATCGTCTTCAATATGCAACAGGTCTGTTTCAACTCACGGCGCACATACTCATCGATTTAAGTTGAGTATAGGATCTACCCTGGAAAGTCTGGAACAGATCTCACACGCCCAGGACAATCTGTAGCTTCAATACATACATACTTCCTTTGCTCGTGTGACGTTGCTTTGGTTATAGTAGTGTACACTGGAATTTACTGGTTCGCCATCACAAAGACCTACAAGGATATGATTGACATCTCCAAATCATGAGTATTGAGCCTTGATAACATCCGCTAACTTCTCCGCTGTCGCAATAACCGCACCAGTCTGGATCTTCATCAGCTTCCACAAAGAGCTTTCAAAGCTTGCATCACCTACCGGGTGTCCTGAAACCAACTTGGGGAAAACACTTGCATCGCATACCCGGAGACCCTGAGTGCCCTTGACACGCAAGTCCGAATCCACAACGCCACCAGGACCCATCGCACACGTTCCTATGGGGTGATATAGCGTCTCCACGCGGTCCCGGACAATATCAGCCAGCTCTCCGTCACTGAGAGTAGAGAAGTGGTGATCAAGTTCAGGGTGTGTGCTATGCACGTCGGTGACAGAGGTTGACATGGGCGCTGCGTGTGCAATTTTGAAGGCAGCACGGAGGCCTCGAACGAGTACATCAACGTCATGCTTGGTTTCGAGATAGCTAGCTCGCAATGAGTACACAATAGGGTTGGAGTAAATGGGGTATCCGACCTAGGGTCCATGAGCGGGTTATCCCAAGGATCAGCAGACTGGAGAATAAGTGATCCTTTGCTTGTGGGACTGGCAGTACGAATATGTTTGGTTGAGTTTTAATTAGGAGACATTGATGGCTCACCGTAATAGAGTAACGAGCATTTGATATGCATATAAAGATTTCCCGATAAGTTCGCCATATGAGCGTACTGCGGCGGTACACATGATGATCTCGATGTCGGGTGCGTCTGGGCCTGAATTGGCGTCTTCGATGTCATGGTTGTACTCCGCGGGTGGGAAGAGTACAGGATCGTCTGATCGGAAAAATGCTACAGACTCGCCGATCTATGTCGTTATTCAGCAGAGGTGAGCGAAAGGAATGCTTGACCAACGTTTGAAGCGATTGGCCCAGTGCCCCACAGTTGGTATCGCAGTAACTCACGCATGAACAAGCATGTTGTGCGCAAGTTGTAAGGCGTGAGATAGTTAAATGCTGTTCCCGTCTTTTCCTTGAACCGGATAGGGACTGCTGGGTGGTCCAGGAGGTTAGCACCGACACCGGGAGCGTCGAGCACGACCGGAACGTTGTGACGCGAAAGTTGCGCAGCTGGACCGATGCCAGAAAGCATCAATATCTGTGGAGAGTGTATGGCACCGCCGCTAAGGGGAGGTAAATCATTGCTTAAGATATATCAAACAATTGCGTACGAGACGATAACCTCCTTGGCCGCCCGTACACGAAACTTGGGTCCGACTTTGCCTACATCAGATTTGCTGGCAAACTCAACACCTGTTGCGCGTGGGATTCCGATGGATGTGTCAAAGAGAACCTTGGTGACACGGGCATAGGTGGCGACAGTCAAATTTGGACGGGCGAGGACGTCATCAGTAAGGTATGCAGCCTCAGTAGACACACGAGTGCTCTTTCTATCGATGTATGTCACTGTGCATCAGTCATTTAGCACTTGTCGATCTTCATGGTCGCCAGTGAACTCACTGATCTGTAGAAATTAACTGGTGTTAGTTGATTTTAGCGGAACCTGTGAAGGTAGACGCACCTTATTTGTCCCCTTCGTTCCTTTGGTCGTGCAGAAGTCGGCCGAGAAAGGGATGCCAATGTTCATGCTCGCCTGGACAAATGCTTTACAACCAGGCCAGATGTGAGCGCTGTATCCAATCTCGACGGGCCCATCGGCACCACGAAGGAGGGGATCAACATGTGGAAAGCGCGGGTCTGGGTTGTACTTCTCAAATTTGCGGAAATACCTGAAACGACAGAGTTGTCGGGATGAGAGTACCTATGGAGAATGAATACATACTTGCTGAACTTGTTCCACGACCAAGATTCATCACCAGCAATTTCCGCCCACTCGTCAAAATCGGACGGTGCACCGTATTGTGCCCTGAGATGGTATTAGTCAGACCACGATCAACTCACGAGAATGAATTGCGACCCACATCATAGCATTCATAGCAGAGCCTAAGGAATATTAGACTAAATTTTTACTGGGAGAAAACTGCTTACATCCTCCAAGGAGTTTGGCTAAACGAAAGGAATTAGCATGACAACTTGAGAGTCGATGAATAAGCCCTACCGCGCGGCCAATATTTTTTCTTGTTGCCTGCATGCTGCTGGGGCTCGGTATAAAGATTGTAGTCCAATCGTGTGCGGAATAATTGCAAGAATGCAGAGGGAATCCTGCTTTCAACGACATCCATAGAGCTACAAAGAACTTCAGCGTCTCCGCAGTCAAAAAACCCTCCAAAATGCTGACCTTCCGCCAGCCTCAATGAGTAGAACCCGCAGGTTCGGGTTTTCAGAGAGACGTGATGCCAGAACACATCCTGCTGTGCCTGGACAAGTTCGGGACCATAAATGATAAGATATTCTGGCTGTGGAACGAATATATCGTACCTCCTCCAACAATGATGAAGTCCCACTCGTCAAACTCAAGTCCGTTGTCATTGACTTTCCTCGCTACTTTCGCATAGTTTGTTATGAGCTTCGGTTGTTTTGTGGTGAGCTGCCTCAGGATGATCGTCAAGGTCACGACGCTGGCCGCCGCACCAAAGAAAAGCCTTGTTTGGGTGCCAGCACGGGCCTGAATGACGTTTAAAAGGCCGAGCAGCTTTTCAAATGCGTGGTTATGGATCATGATGGTTAGAAGCAATAGAAGGGATGTTGCGGGGAGTGTAGGGAGGTGTGGGGACCGGGAATATTTAAAGCTGGCTGGCTGTCACGTTCGCTGACTGTCGCTCGTCATTTAGATTTCCTATATATATATACAGAGTTTACAATGAACGAACTTCCTTTCTAATGTCAGGTGTGCAGAGTCATTGCCGTCACGACCCACGAGAAAGAATAAGTACTTGGGTGATCGTGTCCAGGACGACTCGGACGCCGCCAGGTGGAAATTAGGTGTGGAAACTTTTGAGGGCAAAAGAGTGAAAGCCGCACCTTCAGCATGCATTACCGATTCGTCAGCCTAGCCTGGTGCTGGTCCTTTGGAGAAGTACATGCCAGCAATTAATGTGTACGCGTGTTTGTCAATACTCTCAGAGATCAGTAATTTATGTAATGAACGCGTGGTCAGCTGGTTCTTTGATGGGCCAGCAGCAAAGGACCCCATGATGGGCCGACCCTAGAAGGCTCGGGCCTTTGGGACCTACGTGTGGTTGCATGAAGACCGCGGACCGTCATTGATAGTGACACTTATGCCTTTATAAAGGAACGAGTGCCTTCCTTCTATTGGTGACCCTACCTAGGGGAGACTCAGACTAACGGCGAGCCCGCCACAGGCCCTGCATGAGCCAACTCGATGTGCACTTTATTACATTGCTGTCTTCATCACTGCCACATCTAGGCGCCTAGGCCTCGGGGTCTGCGCTCAGCGCCTGCATGCCGAATATCTATCTCACCAACTCGTGTTGCCCCAGACCCACCAAGAAGGTTTGAATTCGAACTGATTCAAGTTTCAAAAGGCCAGTACTGTCACGCTGCATGTGATATGATGTGACATATCACGAGTATTATGAAACGCATACTCGGTACAGTCCTGAAGCTCCAACAAATTGAGCAGCACATTTGGTTCACTGATAAGGCGTGAAATGTTTAACTGACCTGTCGAAACCGTCGCGGAGATCTGATTAGTACTAGCTACACACAAAACTCAGGCAAGCCAACGGGCTTACAAAAACTCTGGAAAACGACCCCTTAGTAATGATACACAGGCCTAGCTCCTACGAGTAAGTTTTTGACTAAGTCCTCGTTGATGTCATCATGATGCCATCCCACAGGTAGATAAAGAAGGATTCATCGAAACCCACATCGTTCAAGTTCTATCACCCCCGTTGCATCATGCCCACATCCGAGAAGACACGCATCTTTATAACTGGTAGTACTGGTAAGTTCCCGCTCGCCATAAGTAATCTAGTTCGACGCTAACCACTAATCGCAGGTTATATTGGTGGATCTGTTCTGTCCGCACTGCTGTTCGACCCTAGATCCAATTCATTCCAGATAACTGCTCTCATTCGCTCTGCTAACAAAATTGCACCGCTCAATAGTGTCGGAGTCGAAGCTGTCTTGGGGTCCAACAGTGATTTTGAAAAGCTCACAGCACACGCTAGCGATGCGGATGTAGTCTTTTCTTGCGTCCGTTATGAGTCCAACTTCCGAGTGAAGATATAACTAATGACCCCTATGTAGGCTGACGCCGATGACCTTCATGCAATTAGAGCAATCCTCTTGGGACTGAAAAAGAGACACGAGCAGACTAACACAGTCCCCATTCTCATCCACACTGTGCGTACATTCCCTTTCCCCATCACACGCAAGAAGTGACACTGCGCCAGTCTGGAACTGGTTTGCTGATAGACAATGCCGATGGGAACTATGCTACTGACAAGATCTATTCCGACCTTGACATCCCGATGATTGAGGCGCTACCCAAGACGCAACCTCATCGTGCAGTTGACCTTGAAGTCGTTGCTGCTGGTGAACAAGGTAATGTCGACCCATCCACCTTTGTCCTACTATGTCTCATAACAAACACCTGTACGACAACGCCAACAGGTTACGTGCGGACATACATCATTTTGCCTTCGACGATATATGGCATCGCGAACACATCATTGGTCGCGCTCGGCGTTCAGAATCCGCATTCTCAGCAAATTCCTAATCTCATCAAAGCCGGTATTGACAGAAAACAGGGTGGAGTCGTCGGGAAAGGCCTGAATCTATGGCCTAACGTTCATATCAACGACATAGGGACGCTCTACACATCCGTTTTCGATGCTGCGATGAAGGGGCCAGACGCAGCAGGACATGGTCGCGAGGGCTTTTATTTCGGCGCAAATGGGGAACATCGTGTGGGCAGGATCTCCGAGATCGTGGCGGAGGCGTTGTATGAGATGAAGCTGGGCAAGAGTCCGGAGCCCACGGTCTTCACGGACGAAGAGGTGCAGAAGTACTTGGGGGTAAGTCTTCCGATGCGTACGTTATTCATGGATTGCTGAAAGAGCATTCATTGATAGGGTCGTTATCATGGATCGAACTCCCGTGTGCGCGCGGAACGTGCTAAATTGATTGGGTGGAAGCCTGTGCATACTGTCGACAGCCTTTGGGGAAGTATCAAGCCAGAGACCGAGGTCATAGTAGAGAGGCAAAACGCCTGGCTCGGGGGTTGCAGAAAGTAAAGAGTTATGGATTTAAGTCTCGCTAGTATTAGGATTGTCGAAAACATTAGTTTGCCTCGACTGGCGCACTGGCGCACGGCATTTCCGGTGTTAGGTACCGTGTGAGACTTGTTCAGCTGCGCAGCAGGATACTATTGGTGGCGATACGGATTGCTGCCAGCCAATGGTGAACCGTGGCGATAAGATACGTACGTCGTAGTACAACCGTGGCGAGTACCAAGCGCCCTCGGACGGATCCCAGTAAAGATTGTTGTAAATCGATGTTGCAACGCACCAAAGGTATTCTTGGAGACCACCCATAATATAACTCAATAAATCAATCCGTATTCGGCCTTGATAATATGATTCAGATATATAGTACAACTGCAACTATGCAGGCAAGGCTGTACCAACCACGCAACGCAACTATAATAGGGAAATACGCATTCCCACCGGATATATATCTATTGCGCTTTAGGAGGTAGCGTTGTTGAAGATGAGCAAGTTCACCGTCTGCGCGGGGAGATCAGTGAGCACGTTCGGCGTTGCGAGGTCGATAAGAGCTTTCTTGAGCGCCTTCGGGGAGATCTCAGCGGGGCCGCCAGGTATGGGCGCGTTGACGAAGATTTGGGGTGATGGCAGGAATTCGGTCATCCAGCGCGGGAGGGCAGCGTGGCACAGAGAGTAGACGGAGGCGTAAGGGCGAACGAAGTTAAGTGCGGGAGAAAGGAGGGTCGAGCTCAAGGAAGGGTTGAAGGTTGTGGAGGGGTAAATCGACAAGAGGTATGCGAGCATGCCAGCGGTATGAGGAGAAGCCATTGAGGTTCCAGAAAGGGTAGCGATGGCATCCTTGCTTCCAATGTACGTAGACAGAATGTTAAGACCTTTGGAAACAATAGCGCTGGTCAGCAGTCGGTCTTTAAACAAATGGAGAACACATACCAGGAGCGAAGATATCCACACACTCGCCGTGATTGGAGAAGTATGCACGCTCGTCGCTGAGCGTGGAGGCGCCGACGGTCACGGCATTTTCAGCTGCAGCAGGGGAGTACTTGCACGCGTCCTTGTTGTCGTTGCCTAATATAGTGGTCAGAAACAATCTTATGCAACTAACTGAAGTGACATACCGGCAGCAACGGCAAAATGAAGACCAGCGTCAACCGCGCGGTTAACAGCAATATCAAGAGAGGGTGACTTTCCACCACCAAGACTCATGTTTGCAACTGATCCTTTGTGCTTGGTCTTGCCCGTGGCAGCGTACTCAGCGCGAGCAGCTGCAAGCTTGTCTACAGCCGACTGAGCTGCCCATGCAACTCCTGAGACAACATCGGCCATGGTGCCACTACCGTTGGAACCCAACACCTTGACGGCGATAACGTTTGCCTTCTTGGCGACACCATACTTGCTGGAAGCAATGGTACCAGCACAGTGGGTACCATGGCCATTGCCATCCTCATCAACGTCATTGGCAGGGACAGTCTTGCCCCAGTAGGCGCGACCTTCAAACTGGTTGTGGGCGACATTGATACCAGTGTCGATGACATAGACGTCAACACCCTCACCACCCTCGGAGTTGTAGAGATACTTGTTGAATGTGCTGAAGCTGAGCTTGGACCGGTGGCTGACACGAGCGAGACCCTTGTGTGTGGAGTCAACCCCACTGGAAGTCACAGGAGTCAGCGGAAGCACTTACCCAAGGCGAGCCCCTCTGGGTGGCAATCTCCATGGTCCGCACGATTTGGTCCTTCTCTACGAAGTCGACCTCAGGCATCCGTCCGTACCTGCTCAATGACGTTCTCAGTGAACTCTCCAGCGTAACCTTTGACGTGTCCGTCATAAAGGTGACGGAGGCCCTCTGCAAACCCATTACCAAGGAGTGAGTCAGATGTGTGAGCCATCTGGAGAAAGTTGAGGTGGTTCTGCATCACAGCCTGAGGCATGTCGTCGCGAAGAACCACGATATACGAGTTATTGACGGTTCCATATGGATGGTCAGCAACTATTAACGGCGCAACCTTGAGTTGCGGCCGACTGGGAATATTGTAAGGATTGGTAGAAAGTGGGGTTGCGAGAACCGCAGGGGCCAACGCCGCCGCTAGTAATGACCAAGTTGCGAGATAAGACATGGCGGGCGGAATGAGAACAACTTTGGTGTTAGAACCGACTACTTAAACGGCTTGCGTGGCCTTATTTGGTAATGTTTGCATTGTGGCATAGCAGTGTGTCAGTTCTGTCTCGTTTTGGACTGTCGTGCCTCTGCTGTTGCATGTTACACTGAGGGATATCTTCTTATCTACTTCCACAGCTTCTGGAATCAGGTCAAGGACAGGGTCCGAGTTCTTTGCGTGCACGCACATGCATATCTACCGGTCTGCGTCTCCTCAACGTCGTTGCCTCATCGACCTATCAATTCGGTCCGGTTTGGTTCTGCATCTAGACTCTGAGATCCGTAACTGTGTGCCACACCCTTCCCAAGTTTGCGGGCGATTTCCACGTACGTGCACAGCCATGTTGGAGTTCCACGCGCCAGAGTACTTCTGTGTGAGTCTGCGACTTCACTGTTCGGCCTACATACAGCTTGCTCGGAACCGGGCCGAGTCGAGAAACTAAGTTCTGTCTCCAGCATATTCTCGTCTGAAATTAGCCTTGAGATCTCCTGTGCAGATCAAAAGCGGATGAGACAGGGATGCGTTTCAACGCCCTATGTTGTCTCCCGTAGGTACTAGGCAGAACCAATAGAAAGAAGATTGGACGTTCCTTCTGTATCCGCGGTAGTCAGACCCAGATCTAGGGTTAGGTTTACGTGTTTGAATTATAGGGTTCCGCATTTGTAATGCACTTTTTCGCTTCAATTTATCGGTTCCGTCACCGACGGCGACTTAAAAGTTAACACTTAGCTCGCAGCCTTTTAGGAACTTCGTCCTTCAGGTGATCAGTGCTAGCAATGAGTAGAGGTGCCAGCACGCCCACCTCGCGGTTTCACTCTTTGTCAACAACTACTTCCGTCTCATCCTTGCCAGGCATGGCTCGTGGAGAGGAACGGACACCCCTCGTGAATCAAGGCGATGTTGAAGCAGGTCGTTCGACTCACGCGCAGTACGGTTCTTCTACTTCTGGTGAGCATCTTGAGTATCCCCGAGATCTGTCCATGGAAGAAAGTCCAGATATCGAGACGCCAAAGGATACCAGCAAGCGCAACTCGAAGTTTATGAAAAGAGTTCGATACTATGTTCCGTCCACTGCGTGGATACCCGACTATTCGGCTTCTCTGTGAGTTGAAGAGTTGACAATAATATCCACACAAACTCATCTCTCTCAGCTTGGGTGGTGATCTTCTGGCTGGAGTCACTCTTGCGGCTATGCTCATTCCCCAGTCTGTCAGTTATGGAACCGCACTTGCGAAGCTAAGTCCCACCACTGGTTTGGTGCGCCTCCTCGTGTCTTTTCAATAACGTCTCCTTATGTCTACATTTCTCTTTAGTTCGCTGCTTCCATACCGCCAATCATGTATAGTCTTCTCGGAACGTCAAGACAACTCAATGTTGCTCCGGAGGCTGCGCTTTCGCTCCTCGTTGGACAAGCTGTTTCTGATTATCGTCGTGCGGATCATCATGCTCGTCCGGAAGATGCCGATGCCATCGGTATTGCAGTTTCCACTGCCATCACATTCCAGGTAACGTTCTTCTCAATTGGGCTAGAACATTGTCTCAAAAGCAGACACATGGCAAACATTTTTAGGTTGGACTGTTTGCGTCAATCCTTGGATTCTTTCGGCTTGGCTTCCTGGATGTTGTCCTCAGTCGTGCGCTCCTCCGAGGTTTCGTGACTGCAGTTGCGGTTGTCATTACGATGTGCGTGTAATCATTATAATTTAGATGACCCCCGAAGTTCTCAAGTTATATCACAGAGAACAATTAGTACCCATGTTTGGCCTCGCTGCGCTGGAGAATACGCTCAATCCCGAGTCAACCCTGGACAAAATAATTTTCCTTCTAGAATTTGTATGGACTGATTATCACAAACCGACGACGCTAGTCAGCTTCGGAGCGCTGCTCGTGCTCATATTCATGAGGGCTTTCAAACGTTTTTTCAGACGTACTTGGTGGATCGAACGGCTCCCTGAAGTCCTCATCGTTGTCGTGCTGTCTACAAGTGGGTCCATTGTCACCTACTATCCGTCCTGTCTGACTGAATGTGCACAGTCATTTCTGGCCGTCTTCGTTGGGATGAAGATGGTATCGATATCCTTGGCGTGATACCTATCAATACTGGCGGTCATTTCTTTAGTTTACCGCTGAAGGATTCGATACGCTACATCAGAGGAACAACGTCGACCGCAGTGTACGTTCATAATTTGTTTCTCAAGTGCATATATTGACATCAAACAGTTTGATAACCATTATGGGTTTCTTGGATAGTACCGTTGCAGCGAAGCAGAACGCCGATCGCTTTGGCTACTCCATCAGTCCGAACCGTGAACTAGTTGCACTTGGGGCTGCTAATCTTGCTGGATCTTTGGTTCCTGGCACACTGCCAGCATTCGGCTCAATCGTGAGGTCGAAGATCAATGGTGATATCGGTGCACGCACAGCAATTGGCCTCGATTGTTACCGCCAGTATAACATTGTTGTCGACATTCTTCCTTCTCCCGTATCTGTACTTTTTGCCCAGATGCGTTTTGGCCTCGATGTACATGTCTTTCATTTGCGTTTGAGGTTTGTGCACTGACTTGTCTTTCAGCATCTGCCTCTTTGTGTTATCACTGTTCGCTGAGGTTCCCCACGACCTAATATACTACTGGAGGTATGATAGATTGTCTTGTACAGTCCTGAGGTGCTGATAACTTTGCATAAAGGATCGGAGCTTGGACTGACCTCGCTATGATGTTCCTCACTTTCGCCCTCTCTGTCATCTGGAATGTCGAGATCGGAATCGTCGTCAGTCTCATCATCTCCTTGTTGCTTGTTATCAAGCGCTCCTCGCAAACGCGAATGATTATACTGGTATGTCATTATCCATATCGTTTATAGGCGCTAAGATGGCTTTTATGTCAGGGGCGCATTCCTGGCACTGACCAATGGGGTCCCATTGCTGACACTCCAGGTGCTGAGGATGTTCCTGGCATCTTAATTATCCGTATCAGGGAGAGTTTGGACTTTGGTGCGCTCTCATACATCTTATCAAATACCGGCGAAGCTCAATTACGTACCAGCTAATACGGCACAGTTGAAAGAACGTCTTCGTAGACTGGAGTTGTATGGCCCGGAAAGAACTCACCCTTCGGAAGAGCCAAGGAGACAGCCTGCAAGCAAACTAGTATTCCACATGGCAGACGTTGAAACGTGCGATGCCTCTGCAGTGCAGATCTTCCACGAGTTGTTGGAAACGTATCAAGTGAGCTCTTACGTGACTCTGAAAACTTTATCTCATTCTCTCAGAACCGTGGTGTTGGGCTCTACATGACTCACCTCCGTTCTGGTCCTCGAAGGATGTTTGAGCGCGCCGGCATCGAGGAGCTCCTAGGGCTCCGAGGCATTCTTCGCCACCTTGGGAGAAGCCATGGCCAGCATCGGGCAGCGATGAAGGGTTCGATTTGGATATGATTGTTTGGCGATGTTTTACGACTTTTCACGACGTACCCATTGGGCGCACAGACTGCTCGGAGCATGTGGTTGATCTCGCGAGTGGATTGTACATATCCATCCAATATGCTTGCATATACCAAACATATGGTGTTTAGGAAAGTGCCTACGTTTACTTGGCGCTTGGCTCACGTTTCTATCAGTTGGATTGTCTTATCTGTGTTCCGAAATCTCATGACTCCTTGTGATCGCATCATGCATCCATGTAGATCCCCATCATCATTCAATATTCAAGTATCATGATTTGAATCTCAAAGTAAGAAATTTTAATGTACGTCAGCGGCAATATCTCGTAATCCCGACTATTAAGTAAATAAGTTTGATTAGAGTGTTTTTGCTAAGTATGTCCTCGGCCAATTAGCTTGCGCGCACGTAAACAAAATTTCCTTTCCTGTCTGATAAAATTCTTAGTAAATAAGTATGCCGTTTGCTCATTGATACCTATTGACGCCCCTCACAATGTAACCGAAACTAGTGCTAGTGTCGGTTCACTCTCGGGCCCCAATATAAAAACAATGACCTCCTTCTATCACTAAGCCTGTTCTCAAGTTCTACTTTGTTACCGTTCTTTGCTCTTACAGCGAATGCGTTCTTTCCTTCTACCAGTCCTTTCATTTACACTTGGCCTCGCCGCTAGTGCGATTGCCGACCCCATAATATCTCGTTGGCAGCTTCACGAAAAACGTTCCCATATACCCGAAGGATGGACCCGCGAGCAAACGCTCGATCCTTCTGCCTCGATTCCTTTGCGATTTGCGCTTGCCCAGCCAAATATCGAGCACATCGAAGCGCTGCTCTACGAAGTTTCGCATCCTGACTCACCCAATTACGGGAACCATTGGTCTCCAGGTCAGGTTGCAGCCAAGTTTGCGCCAAGTACCGAATCTATCGAGACCGTGCGCACATGGTTGATCGAAAGCGGTGTGGAACCCCACCGCGTAAAAATCTCACCTACGAAGGGGTGGCTCGAAGTCGCTTCTACTGTCGAAGAGGCTGAAAATCTCTTGCTTGCTGAATACCATGTTTACAATCATGAAACGGGTACAAAACATATCGGTTAGTTTCAAGTTAGATTCATGTCCATACGACCTAATTTCAAATTTCAATCACAGCCTGCGACAGTTATCATTTGCCAGAGCATGTCGGCCCGCATGTCGACTTTGTGACACCGACCATTCATTTTGATGTCAAGATCCGGAAGCGTAATCAACACAATAAAGTCTCGATCGGCCAACCTGGTCAGGGTAGCGGTCCCAAGACGAGCGGTGTAGTCCAAGACATCATCAGTCAACTCAAGGATTGTGATAAGCAGACCACGCCAATTTGCTTGAGGACGCTATATGGACTTTGGTATGAACCAGTCTCCGGTAAAAACAACAGTTACGGAATTGGTATGTGCACTATTCGTCGTGCAATTATGCGAGGGGCTGACGACCGCGAAGTGGAGTATACCCCACAGGCCTATCTTCAGTCTGATCTCGATATGTTCGCGAAGAACTTTTCAACTGGTCTCGAAGGTGTTTCTCCTACGATGGTTTCAATAGATGGAGGTACTGTTGCAAATTATTTGCCGCAGAAAGCGACTGACTAAGTAGGTTGTGTTAGGCTACCTCCAGACTACAAACATGTCTTTTGACTACAATGGGGAATCTAACCTCGACCTCCAGTATGGGATGACCCTGGTAACAAAGGGACAAGACGTCACTCTTTATCAAGTTGGAGATGCAGTTGAAGGTATGAAGATGACCGGTAGGTCCAACATGCAAGGCTGACTGCGCTGACATTTAGGTGCTTCTTTCAATAACTTCCTTGATGCCCTGGATGGAGACTATTGCACTTATGACGGCGGCGATGACCCCTCTCAGGATCTTGTTTATCCTGACACCGCCAGTGGCGGATACACAGGTAAGATTTTATATATTTTACCATATTTTAATTATATTTCGCGGCACAATGTAGGCGCTGAGGATTGCGGAACTGTCAAGCCCGCCAACGTCATTTCCACGTCCTACGGATACAATGAGGCTGACCTCTCTGCCGCCTATGCTATTCGCCAATGCAATGAGTACGCGAAACTCGGCCTCTTGGGCGTCACCGTCCTCTACAGTTCGGGAGATTGGGGCGTTGCAGGCAGTAACGGGCACTGTTTGAATCCCGATGGTAACGCAGATTATCTTGCATAGTACCATTAAACCCCGGGCTTATTTTGTTGTCGCAGGTACTCAGACCGCAGATGGTGCAATCTTCAATCCCGCCTTCCCTTCTACATGTCCATATGTCACTTCGGTGGGTGCCACTCAAGTCAGCCCCGGCCAGTCTGTATGGGCCCCCGAAAACGCGTGTGAGCAGTTCATCTACTCTGGCGGTGGATTCAGCAACTACTTTGGTATGCCCGACTATCAGAAGGGAGCGGTCGAAGGGTACCTAGCAGCTAATCCGATCTCGTATTCGAAGAATATTTACAACTCCACCGGAACGGTACGTTTCATAGCAATGTACTTAAGAACAGTCCTGATAGTTGTCGCAGTCCCGCGCATATCCCGATCTTTCTGCCAATGGAGCGAACTACGTCGTTGCTGTTGATGGTAACTTCACTCTCATCTACGGAACGTCTGCATCTACACCTGTCGTCGGTGCTATCTTGACCATGGTGAACGACGCTCGCCTCGCGCTCGGTAAATCAACGCTCGGGTTCATCAACCCTACTGTGGGTCACATCACCCCTCTGTTTTTCAAATTGCTGCTGACATTGCACACTTATGAAGATCTACTCTGTTGATTTCGCAGGGAGTTTTAAAGATGTCACCAACGGAACGAATCCGGGGTGTGGCACTGTGGGATTCAATGCGACCAAAGGTTGGGATCCTGTCACTGGCCTCGGGACGCCCTACTTTCCTTCACTGCTTGCCAAATGGTTGGCTCTCAAGTAAGCTATTTCTACGCAGAGGACTTTCAACTGTACTCGGACTCGGATTATATCCATACCCTCCCTCACTGACGTGAATGACTAATTGGAATACCTATACGGTCGATTACACATCTTATAGACTTACTTGAAGTTGTGATCGGCAATTGGGGTAAATATATCCGGGTGTGCCTCTCTAACCCTTGTATTGGACGCGACGCAGTGCTCTCTGTTTGAGGTAGGCTTGTACGACCAGTTGTTCAATCCTGGTCGAGTGATAGATTCAGTACACGTATTGATAAAAGGGGGACAGGTAAGTAACCTTTGCTTCACCATCATAGCTGTTCCTTGCCTCACTACGCCTTTGAATAACTGCGCCCCGAGACCACGGTATAGAGCGAAGAATCCGCCAGCGGTATAAATTCCTAGGAGTGACGATCGAATTGAAATGTACTGTGATGAATTGTTGGCGGAATTAGATCTACGAGAAGCTTGTACCACAGTCTTTGCGAGAAGCAGTGGGTATAACATAATGACGGCTTCGTGAGTCGTGTATTAGTACTTGTTTGACAACAGCATTGGAGACGCGACTCGCCTACAGAATTTGCAAGCGTGCCTCCTAGGAAGGAATGGCCTGGGGGCGGCGTGGCGCGTTCTTTACCCTTGAGCATCACTCGTCTATATTGCTGGAACAGATAGAGCGTGACCGCGTGACCGCGGGGTTGAGTGAGAGAATAAAATTGGATGAGAATCCTATGGCCATGACATCCCAAAAATTGCATAACCTAGACATGACAATATATAGTTATATTTTTGGTGTCGACAATGTCTGGAGTGTCAGGTCCAGGGCCCAGTATATCTTGCAAGACTAGGGAGCTGAAAAGTCCACACCTGAGTGGCACCACCTAGATTAGTAATTACCTTGTACCAACAAGGTCACTATCAGCCCATAATTGTGGTTGTACGTTCCCACTTTTTTGTAAGATTAATATAACTCGCGCGGGTCTGTAAGATACGGACTCTCTCAGTCGTGCGCGTGAAGGCAAATGTCTGTGATATTCACCTGTAAGATACGGACTCTCTACTCGAAGTAAGCAAAGGTGAATATAAGTGAAAATGTAAGTATCTCACCTCAGTCGTGCGTGCGAAGGCAAACGTCTGAGGTGACAGTCTGATTCTGTAGCTAACTAAATACCTCGCAAGCTCTTGTGCGAGTGAATTGAGTATGTGAGACTGTAACAATAAGAAAGTATGGCACTGGCCCAAGAGATCAATGGTGTTTTGTAAGTACAATAGAAAAGATGATAACAAGATCACATAGATGTGAAACGTACGTGTCACTGGACATTGTGAACGAAAATGATAAGGGAATACTGCGTCTCGGCTGCGAGCACGCTTGCTCATTTCCAACACTCCCCCTCAAGCTGCACGAAGTCCGAGTTGGGATGCAAAATGTTTGACTTTCGGTGATGGCAATGCCTTGGTAAGAGTATCGGCAATCATGTCGACGGTAGGACAGAATATGAGGCGAAGCTTCTCTTCTTTGATAACCCAATGAATAAAGTGGAAACAGATGTCAATATGTTTGGTGCAAGTGTGATACTGGTGATCCTTAGTTAAAGCGATTGCTGATTGGTTGTCTGAAAAGAGGGTGATGGGTTTGGTGAATGGTTCGACAAGCTGTCTGATGAAAGTGCGCAACCATAACACTTCCTTGGTGGCGTGTGTTGCTGTGACATACTTGCTCTCGGTAGTGGACAACGACACGATTTCCTGGCGTTTTGATGACCAGGAAACGGCTCCCCCGTCAATTAGGAAGGCATACCCTGACACTGTGCGTCTATCCTCTGCCATGCTACCATCTGCATCCGCATACCCTGTCAACTTGCTTTCAACACCTCCATAGGTCAATTTCAGATCCGTCGTTCCAAACAAGTACCGATAGATGCAACACACGGCATCCCAGTGTGGTTGCCCTGGATTGCTTGAGAAGCGCGACACAGTTGCTACTGTGTAGGATATGTCAGGTCTAGTGCCAAGAGAAGTGTACATCAATGATCCAACAGCTTCGTGATATGGGACATGACACATTGCTGCGTATTCTGCTCCTGTTGATGGCGACTGACCAGAATGGAGTTTCATGGCAGGTTCCATAGGGTTTGAGATGGGTTTCAAGTCCTGAAAGTTGAAGTGGCGGATGATGGATTCAAGGTAGGACTTTTGGGATAAGGATAATGTGTGACAGTCGTGGTTGTGTGAGACTTCTATACCAAGCAGCCAGTGAAGCTCTCTGAGATCGGTAATCTCGACGTGCATACAGATCTTGTCTTTGAGTTTGATGATGGCGTCGATTGATGATATGGCAATGGTGCAGTTGTCAACATGAACAACAATGATGACTAACTCACTTCCAGATCGTGAGAAAAAGACTGCTTGGTCAACATCGCACTGAGTGAAGCCAAGATTCTCCACCAATATCTCGACCAGCTTTTGATACCATTGGTGTCCGCTTTGCTTTAGTCCATACAGCGTTTTCTGCAGATGACATACTTGCTTTGGACGGTCTTTCGACTCGAAGCCAGGAGGCTGGCGCATGTAAATGACTTCTTCGTCAGCAAGTTCTCCATTTAGATAAGTGCCCTTGATGTCTATCTGATGGATCTCCATGTCTAGTCGAGCTGCGAGTGCAAGAACAGTTCTGATGGATGTGAGGGTTGCAACAGGTGCGTATGTGTCAAAATAATCTACCCCTGGGACTTGGGAATAACCTTGAGTCACTAGTCGAGCTTTGTGTTGCACAACATTTCCTGCTGCATCCTTTTTAGCACAGAAGACCCACTTGGAGCCTACGATGTTAGCACCCGGAGGCAGATCGACAAGCTTCCAGGTTCCTGCAGTCTGCAGTGTGGCTAGCTCCTCACGGATTCCAGCTTCCCATTGGGGCCAGTCTGGTTGGTGCTTCGCCTCAGCCAGAGTGGTAGGTTCTAGGGCTTCTGTGTCAGACATGAACTCACTCAAGGCTAATGCTAGTTTGGCAAGGTTGTCTTCTGCTTCAAGAATCGCCATCAGCTTTTCAGCTGCAGTATCTGCTTTGGATGTGGCTTCTTCCGGAATAACTTCTTTTGTGGGCAGACAGATACCTTTGGGAATGGGTGCTTTTGCATCTATGATGTCTTGAACGCATTGGCTAGGCTTCCGGACTCGCTTGGCGACCATGTCAAGCACGGGTGATGCTGATAGAACCGGAATCTTAGAATGGGGAATGGTGGCTGGGGCTTTGGGAGTGGTTACTGATGGGGTAATGATGGGAGGTGAGTATGGTTGTGACAATATCATTGCGTTTGGTCCCTGATCCTCTTCCTCCCCCTCGCAAGGTGTCGTCGTAACCTCAGAGGGGTCCCAGTAAACGTTACATTTGACAGTTACTGACCGTTTCGCAGGCCAGTAGACCCTGCTCCCATTTGCGCTCATGTTGTCAATACCGACCCAGTGGCCTTCCTCGACATGCCCCTCAAGTTTCGTTCCCAATTCCACATGCACCTACACCTTTGAGCCCCAGGGACGAATGTTCTGCAAATCTGGCTTCTTGCCAGTGGCGACTTCAAGGGGGGTGGCACCGTCTAAAGCCTTAGTGGGTGTTCTGTTCTTCAACCACACTGCATGTCTAACGGCTTCTCCCCAAAGGAAACGTGGCAGCCCGCTGTCATGTAATGCAGCTTGTACCTTCTCAAGTAAGGTGCGATTGAGGTGTTCTGCCACCCCGTTGTGCTGGGGAGTATCGTGCACGGTAAGCTTCTGTTCAGTTCCGACTGCTTTGAGGTGTAGGGTGAATTCTTTTCCAAGGTATTCGCCTCCTTGGTCGGAATGCAGGACTTTAATGTGGGCACCTTGTTGAGTCTTGCACCAGGCTTCAAAGTCTTTGTAAGTGCCAAAAGCCTCGCTCTTCTGATGTAGAAGATGCAGATAGGTAAGTCTGGTTTTGTCGTCCGTGAAACTGATGTAATAACGACGACCACCCAAAGTAGGGACGGGCGCTGGGCCCCACAAGTCTGTGTGGATTTCTTCTGCGAAATCTTTAGCACGTTCCCCTTCCCTTGCTTTGAGGACAGGTTTCCTTGTCGCCTTTGTGTATACACAAGACTCGCAAAAAGTGGATTCGCCGGACAACAAGTCCACCTTTATTCCTGTGACCATACCATTTTCAGCCAGGTGTCGTGCTACGGCTGGTGAGATATGTCCCATTCTTCTGTGAAGCTCCATGACCGTGATAGTTTCTGTTGCAGAGTTTGCGCTTTCTGCGTCATGAATGACGCGATACAACCCCCTTTGGCTTTTGGGGATCTGTCCAATGACGTCTTCGGTGGGATCACGGATGGTACACGTCCCGTTGGCAAAAGTCGCAGAATATCCTAGTTCATCAAGACAACCAATGGACACAAGGGTATACCCTACTTCTGGTGAATAGAGCACTTCGGTGAGACGAAGCTGCAATACGTTGATACCGTTGGGAACTTCGACTACCATTTCTCTGACTCCTATGGCATTGAATGATTGTTTGTTTGCCGCGGTGAATGGTTTGGGGGAAATGGTTGACAAGGATTCGAAGCGTTCCTTGTATGGTGAAATGTGTCGTGTTGAACCAGAGTCATAGAGTTCGGTGATTGTTCCATTCTTCATGTGTCCACTGCTGACTTCTGCGACAAGGTCAACGGGGATATCAGGTTCTACGGGGAGGTGTGTGCTGCTTCCACTGCTTGCGGTTTCCCAATCACTAGGCAAAGGTACGTCGTCTTCGTCTATTTCTGAAAACCAGTCCTCATTGCTGACAGTAAAGTTCGATCTTTCAGTGATGTCACCGTCTGATGACTCAACAGAGAGGAGGTCAGGGAACGAGAACAATGATTCAGAGTCAGACTTGTCATGCACAACAAAAACTCCGTCATCATCAGAGTCTGTGTCAGCTGCCGCATTTGCAGATCCTACTGCTTTGCTGCTGCCTGTGGTAGGTTTCTCCGGTTCCGGGCACTGAGCCTTGAAATGCTCATGTGACCCGCAGTTCCAACAGGGCGGGCGAGGTCTGTTGCCCCCGCCCCGTCCTCCTCGATTAGACCCTTTTTGGCCTCCCTTGCCTCGACCGGAGGTCGAGTCTGTAGCTGCCATAGCTTCATTGGTGCTTTGAGTCTTGGCACCTTGGTTGCTGCGTGTTGTGCGAGCATCTTTTCTGCTGCGATGCTCAGATTCCTTGATGATTATTGAGATTAAGATGTCGGGATCTATAGTCTTGGTTTGACTATAGAGTCGAGCTGTAGCGAGCTGTCCTGATGCGAAGCCTGCAAGGTGGTTGGGGAGAGATTGGATTATAGTTGACCAGTAATCCTTCTCATCTATCTGAATTCCTACTGCTGACAACTCATCCTTCTTTGCACGCAGTTCGTCGAGGAATGTGCATACATCACCTCTGCCTGGGCACTTCGACTCTAGGAATTTGGTCCGGAGATCTGTCTGTGCATAAGCACCCTTCTCGGTGTATTCACGCACAATCTCATTCCACATTGCGACAACGTTGGGCAAGCTCCGAACATGTAACGCAGTAGAGTCGGGAATACGCTGGGTAAGCAAGTGTTTGGCGAGGTTTTCGTATTTCTGCCATTGAGCGAGTGCTACAGGGTCAGGAGGTGATACGACGGTTGTTCCTCCAGTTGTTGTCAATGGGCCGACGGGCTTTGGGTTAGTCCTGTTGAACTGCTTCCATAGGTCCTTCACTTCGACAGTGATCTGGAAGCATAGCGAGAAGATTGCCCAGTTGGTACCTTTGATATCAAGCTTGGGTACATTGGTGGGAAGAGTATCTGTGGTGACGGGCACAGTAGTAGACATTGTGTATAGCAGCTTTCGGCAGTGAAATGTGAGACATGGGGTTAATCAGAGCTCAGGGCTCATAACCTGTAAGATTAATATAACTCGCATGGGTCTGTAAGATACGGATTCTCTCAGTCGTGCGCGCGAAGGTAAATGTCTGTGATATTCACCTGTAAGATACGGACTCTCTACTTGAAGTAAGCAAAGGTGAATATAAGTAAAAATGTAAGTATCTCACCTCAGTTGTGCGCGCGAAGGCAAATGTCTGAGGTGACAGTCCGATTCTGTAGCTAACTAAATACCTTGCAAGCTCTTGTGCGAGTGAATTGAGTATGTGAGACTGTAACAATAAGAAAGTATGGCACTGGCCCAAGAGATCAATGGTGTTTTGTAAGTACAATAGAAAAGATGATAACAAGATCGCATAGATGTGAAACGTACGTGTCGCTGGACATTGTGAACGAAAATAACAAGGGAATACTGCGTCTCAGCTGCGAGCACACTTGCTCATTTCCAACATTTTTCACCCCATGGGAATTCATGTTCATGCAAGTACTGTGATATTGCATGCGTGCATAGTACTACATTCTCATTATTACAATTACAAGTATACATGGCACAAGGTAGTATGTTGTCCAACTCTGAACTTATCTACAATCAATCTCTCATAGCTTCTTGCTTTTTGCATCCCACCACTGCTCTGTTATCTGGTCCAGCTTCATAATCCGTTGGTCTTCAATGCAGAGATATTTGCTTGGATGAGTTGTTAATAACTTCTCATCAAAATCACGTAGAAGATGTATATTCTCACAACCGTGTCCTTGAGAGAGTGTGACATATACATTAAATAGGGAAAGTCCACCACTTGGTGGCATTGTGATGTCGATGATTGCATTGCTGATTGTTTGTCCTTGAGATTGATAATCAGTAAATGCATATGCTGGAGTGAGCAGAAGCTGGTTCTGTGTTACCACCTGTTCACTGCCACCCATCACAACACAAAAAGTTTGTTGCATAGGAGTCAGTGGCAGAACACCATTGTCCAAGTTTTCAAGGGTTTTTGCTTTGGTACAGTTCAACTTGATGAGGACATAAGCAGGAGGATAGTCTAACTCCACAATGGACTTGGTCAGGCAGAAATTGGTCCCATGTTCATCCAATATGATTTCCATTATTTTTCCTTGTGCTCTGTTTGCAACATTGAGATCTGTGTTGACATTGAAGGTGACCATGACCTTCATTCTGAATGCAATTTCAACAATATTTGGTAGAGCTGCTCACTCATCTTTTTTAGCATTTCTCCCACTGGGCTTTGTTGCTACAATGAATTTCTCCGTCAATGTTAATTCCCATCCTTGCATGGTGTCATATGCCTTGCACATGAAAAGTTGATTCCCACTTCTTTGGCAATGATTCTTCATCATGTTCAAGTTCCACTGGCAATGCACTGCATTGCAGGGCATGATCAATACTGCATCATTCCATGGAGCAGAACTGAAGTCGATTGATGGACAGTGGGGATTTGTCAGAACAAGTGAGCAGAGCAGCTTGATATGGTGAGCATGACAACTGCCATGCCGCACATGATGTAGAAGATTGTTCCACTCTGGATTGGTAACATGAACTTGTTCTTTGAGATGAACAACAGTTGTAAATTGTTCATAAATCTTCCATCCCAGCATTTCCTCTGCAGTATCTTTTGATGAATCACAAGGATAATACAGAGCTGCGCTCTTCTTCACTGCAACTGGCAGAAATTGGTGAAAATCTCCAGCAATAATCACATTGACTCCTCCAAATGCTTGGTTGTCCCCTTCTTCGCCGCCAAAGACTTCACTTTCCTGATATATGCCGAAATTCTTGCCAGGAACTTGTGAGATAGCATGGACTTCTCATTGATGATGAGATATAGTTTGCCTTTCTAAAACACAGCAAGCTTCTTCAATGTCTGGGCTCCTTGTTGGTGACCATTAAGAGGTATGAGCGTAATGACATGTAGAGTCTTTCCATCTTTGATGGTAGCCGCAATTCCAGTATAGTAGGCTGCCTTCACAAGTTTGGAGTTGATACCTCAGCTCTGAAGGTTTTCGGTTATGGTTTGGATGGTCTTTGATTTGCCAACTCCTCCTTCTCCTGGGATTTGCATAAGTAGTTGTGGAGGTCTGTGTCCTGCCAATGTTTCAGACACGTGCCAATCAACAATATCATATGCACATCTTTGATCCTTCAAAAGACATGATGGGTTGACTGGAGATATGTGTTCTTGAACCAAGGGTTGGAGGTATGATATATGACCCTTGTCATCAACTTCGTGTAGTCCATCCATCATGGTGACATCTCCAAAATTGGCTGCAATAATACAGTGGCTCAAAAAAACTGTCCGCATGTTTTCACATTTTTCACTATCTATGGTATTGTGTGAGAATATACAAACATCTCAAGGACATGCTGGTACCATATTGTAGTACTACTTCAGGGCTTTCAATTGAGTACTATGACGTGGGAATCTGCTGAGATATGGTGGAGATATGAGGCTTACAAAATGATGACTCATGTGGACAGTTTTTTGACTCAAGTATTTTACAGTGATAATCAGGTATTCTAGTACTTTGTGTGACCTCCCTTGGCTTTAATTACTGCCTCTGTCCTTCTAGGCACACTCTCAATCAATTTCTGGCAATATTCTACTATAATCCACTACTACTCTCTCCCATAGCTCCCATACTCCTTTAGGGGGGTTTCAGAGGCTTGAAGCTTCTTCTTGAGTGTTCCCCAGAGATGTTCAATGACGTTGACATCAGGGGACTATGCTGGTGAGTCAACAACATTGATATCATGTTCTTCAAACCATTGTCTGGCTCTTCTAGATGTGTGCTTGGGATCATTATCCTATTGGAAAATGATATCTTCTTCATCAATCCCTGATTCAGCTATGCTAGGCAGCAAGTGGTCATTTAGAATGTCCACATACTGCTCAGCATCCATCCTCCACTCAACTTTATCAAGCATATCCACACTATTCCATCCCATACAGCCCCGTACCATTAGAGAACCTCCTCCACATTTGACAGTCTCCCTAACCTCTCTGTCTGTTAGAGAATCTCCCTTTTTTCTCCATACATATACCTTCCCATCTGACCGAATCCTATTGATTTTGGTCTCATATAACCATACAACATGCTTCAAGTCTTCTACAGTCCAATTTTGATGGGCCAAGCCAAAGGTAGTCTTCTCTGCCTATGTTTGATAGAAAGAAGAGGCTTTTCTTCTTTGTTACTGCCTTGAGATGAGGTGCCTCAAGAACATCCCTCACAGTTTGTGAAGAGACAGTGGTGGTGATGGTGGAATTGATATAATGGGTGGCTTGGACAGCATTATCAGCCTTTCCTATAGTGATATGTTGGATGATAGCCCTCTCATTAGTAGAGATGGACGTCCTCCACAAGAGTTTTCCTTGTCCAGGTGGCTTTCTTTGATAAAATTGGTCACAGTAGACTTGCATACTCCAGTTCTAGAGGAAATTTGATGAACAGAGAGGCCAGCATAGGACAAAGAGAGGATATTATCCCTTTGAGTAGAGAAGATGGTTTTCATGGTGATTATGACCATGACACATGAGACATTCTGGTTTATATAGTTAGATGGAGTTTCAAGAGTATGCATAGAAGGATAGAGGCAGTAATTAAAGCCAAGGGAGGTCACACAAAGTACTAGAATACCTGATTATCACTGTAAAATACTTGAGTCAAAAAACTGTCCACATGAGTCATCATTTTGTAAGCTTCATATCTTCACCATATCTCAGCAGATTCCCACGCCATAGTACTCAATTGAAAGCCCTGAAGTAGTACTACAATATGGTACCAGCATATCCTTGAGGTGTTTGTATATTCTCACACAATACCATAGATAGTGAAAAATGTGAAAACATGCGGACATTTTTTTGAGCCACTGTATCTTCATCTCTTGCCTCATTAACCAAGTTTGTTTCATCAGCCATTGCAGCTTGCCACTTTTGAAGCTGAGTATAATTGGCACCACTTGCGATACCAACTTTCGACATGACAACATCCCATGAATCTGGTTCCTCCAAAAAAATCCCCTTTAAATATCTGGCTGCAATTGCATTCAGCCCATGTGCTTCCTCATGATGAGACTTCTGGGATTCCTCGTATACATGCAAATCTTTGATCATCAAGTTAACAACTGTCTCTTCATCTTCATCTTCATCATTAATGATCACAGCCACTTGTTGATTTCTTGATTCACATTGTTTGGCAGATAGGAAGTTTTTGCTATCACAAACACATGAAATTGTAGCAGCTTTCTTGCATTCATAGTAATATTGAATCCCAGCAACAACATCCTTCTCTTGCTGCAAGGCATGGTGGAAAAATACATGTATGCACCTTCCCATGTTTTGAAGTCAGCCTTTAGTTCTTCAATACTGTGCCATGGTAGAAGCAATGCAAGGATCAATGCACAATACAGTTTTTGGGTCATTGCCTTGAGGAAAAAATGGTCCAACAATATTGGGCAATGTATTATGACCCTTTGATTGAACAACTTGGCAGTGGGTGTGATGTTTGGAATGGTCCTTGAGGTAATAACTCCATTCATTTCTCAGTCAACCACACCTTGGGATTGAAGATGAAGTGGAAGCTTCATGTTCTTGCTGTTCCCGTTCTGAAGATGGGATTGCCACTTCATATGTGTGAATTATGAACTGAAAATATGAATATGAGTCCCTCTCCTCATTGCTCATAATCTTTGAATTGTGAACACATATGAAGACATCCTTCATTGGTGACATGCAATGTAACCACATCCTACATATTAATTTAGTTACTTGTTGGTACATACTACAATATGTGGCAAAAACATACCAGTGTATTTTCATCATTATCTGGATTAAGATGTGGTTTATTGCTTGTCTTGGGATCACTTGCATTGTCATATACCAGATCCAACTGCTCCGATGACATCAATATCCACTCTGCCCAACTACATCCTTTCCACTCTACCCTCTGTCCACTCTGCTTGTTCCCTGCCCTAGTGCTTCTGCTCGACCACCTTGTCGGTTACCTTCCACATAGTTTCCATTCAACTGGAACCTCTTTCCCCATTTAGGTATATACATTCCCCTTTGGTACATAACACTTACTTCCTGGATCACTGGCAATTCCTATAACCACTTGATTACTGATCTGTCATGTACATATTGATATCCGCTCCAACTTATGTTTTCTCTGTAGTAATACTTACCAATGGTATAATCAGCACATAGCCTTATGCTATGAACTACTGATCACTGCCTCCTCACATAGAAGTATATAAACATATCATGTACTTAGCTAGTTTCCTCAGTCTTAATATTACTTGTCTTCCCTCAGTTTCTACTGGTGGGAATTCTCCGTAGGACTTTGCTCACTCCAGACACAAGTCTCACCTTGTTGTCACCTCTGCTCCTCTGCTCCAACTTAGAGCTGTGCTCTAAGTTAAACTCCTTTACTTCCCTCCACATCATAAAACCAATCCCCTTGTCCCCTCTGCTCCAACCTACTTCCCCCACTCCATCTGCTCCACTTCTAGTTGGTCCACCACTAGTAAGCACTTTACCTCCTGACCCTCAAAGCAGACCAAAGTGGTCCACTCATCCTATCGTCGAACAATGTTGGTCCCACTCTAAATTCAGGGCCCATACTTGGCTAAGGGCGCAGTGCAAGAGCTGAAGCCAAGCCCCAACCCCTGCTTCTCTATCTGAGCATGGTACCTAACATGTGTGCTCTGAGTTGGAGTCTTCGTCACTTTCAGTATCCAAGTCAGAATCAGATTCATAACTGATGTAGTTCAAGTCAAATTTAATCAGCTTGTGTACTATCAGAATATCTGACAATGACTTCCTGTCTTTTTGCTTGAATTCAACTCTGGAAATGCTCACAGCAAATGAGCTTTGAGAGCAAACCAGTATAATGGCACATAATGGTGCAAGTATATTGCATCCCTGCATCCCATAAGATATGCAATGACCTGTGGTCCTGAATGTTCCATTTTGTGATTGATAGCATGCTGGCAGTGGAACAGTAACAAACAGTTATGATCAACCACATCATTTAGATGATTTGCATGTTCCTGATGATACAACAGTGTACTTGCCATCAAAGCAGACACATTGTTGTTCTTATTCTGTTTCTTGGTCGAATAGTCCATAAAATACCATGTGACATCCTTCGTATCACTACCATTGGTGAGCAGTTTGATATCATTGTTGCAATGGAGTGTTGTAGTTATTGCAGGGCAAAAATTGTTGAGAAATGCATAGGTTCATTTTGGATTCCATCTGCCATGTTCATCAATGATATTGGTGGGTGTTAATAACCAAGGAGCACATCTCTTGCAAACCAGCTGTCCATGCTGATTAAATCTCAAACAAGTTGCCCTGCTACAGGTATGAACTTGTTGAGACCTGACTACACAGCATTCAATTGCTTGGTTTTCTGTACTTCAATCACTGGAATCTGGATCTGGGGGTCATGAATATGGCAAATTGCTCTCCCTTGGCATCGTTTGAATGGTCTCTTCATCCAATCCATCAATGTGTGCATGAATGTTCTGCTGAATATACTCCTCGATTCATCTGTGAAAACCCCCGTTCTGCAAATGAATATGTATGTCATGTATATTTGGTGTGTGTCGAAGCCAAATCATCATATGCACATGCAACATTCCTCTTCCTTGAGCTTCAATGACACAAAAGTACCCACTAACACATCCAAGGATTCCCATCCCACTATGCACTCAATTTCCTCTGATTTTGGTCTGGAAGAGTGCTGAAAGTACTGCCTTGATAATGAAAAGAAGTACTTTGCAGTGGCAAAAGGATCCCTGGCAATGTTTTGAGCTCTGTGATTGCTATCTGGGCCGGCAACAGGGGAAAATCATCCATATTAATCTCCTCCCCAGCAAAGATCTGTGTGACAGGGTCATGTGTGTTGCTGGGATTGATCGTCATCCAAAGAAGACAGACCCGAAGATTAGATATCTGTCTGTGTTCTGCCTCCTCTTTCTCTGCTTGTCAAAGGTCAGAAACTGTGACAGAATTGATGATAAATCCATTGTGCTTGAAGTCCTTGCAATGCATCTGAATCTGAGCTGATTGCAAAGCTTTGCGCTTCTGCTCCATGCCAAAAATGACAAATGGAAATGAATGGTAGGTTCGGAATTGATGATCATGATACTGTAATGCACATCACACATGCTCATCAAAACCGATGGATTTGCCACATGTATCCTCAATTCCACTGACACCATAAGGAAAAAGTTTAGGATATGTTGCAGCAAGTGGATTCTTCCTATCTGAATCTTCTCCTCCAACTTGGTTGCGTCCAAAATCAGAAACAGGGTGATGGCCATGGCAAATGGCATAACCTCCTTCCTTCTCAGACATGCCATCAATATTCATAAGTGCATGCTTCATCAAGTCATTCAGTGGCAGTGTGCTGAGTTCTGTGTCTGTAACACCCAAGAACTTCAATGGAATCACATGTGCATCTAGTACGTGTCATTAGTGACTCACTCATTTCAAAACCATAGACATGTTTGCTGTCAATATCACTATCTCCTCCAATATTATATCCTTCATTCTCAAGATCCGGTATGTCATTATCTGATAAATCTCAGTATGTTATATGATGATGTTTACTAGAGCACAACACACACCATTATTTGTAACCCCATCATCAGTAGCCATGTAACCTTCACTCTCTTGCATTGCAATGTTATCACTGGCCTCATGGTGGACAATAGAAACAATCTCTTGAGGGACATCATCCTCTGGGAGATATGCAAGTTGTGCTGCCGATATTTGAATATCAACGTAAAGTGGATTGTGGGCCTTCAACCAGGTAAGAACATTGAAGACGACATCACATCAAACACAGAATGTTAATTTTAGCCAATCCTTCAGCAAATTCCTAGTCCCAACATATGTTACAGCAAGCACAGATGCCAAAGATGTGACTGGTTGTGGTAGAAATTGGCCTTCAATCATCTTTGCAACATCATCAGTGTTCATATTGTACAAAGTGACATTCCCAGCCATCCCCTGCTGCAAATGGCTAGGATCTGCACCATGAGTATCCTTTGGATATAACTTGAAAATGTAACATTGAGGAAAGTGGCGAGAAATTAAGAGTTCCTCTGGGAGAGTGAGGACTGCAAGTTCGTGTGGGATTGGACCAATCCACATGTTATTTGCAAGTGCAAACCTGGGCATTGTATTGGCCTCAAGTGATTGATAACATTCACAACAGACCCAGCCTGTTGCATCTGGTGCCTCTCTTTAACATGTCCTTCAACCAACAACAACCTGTTAAGACCATGCTCAGGGGTAAAGCAAAGTCTGAGGGGCTTGGCTTCAGCTCGTGCACTGCGCCCCTTACCTGAGTACATGCCCCTAATTTTGGAATGCAGTCCAACATGAGTTCTATGAGTTCCGACAGGACATCGGAATGGGGGTCTTCTGAAGGAGGACCAACAGACTACTAGGTGAGCGCAGGAAAGTTGGGCAGGGGTTGTTCCACCCGACCAGAGGGAGGTGGGAGACTACTGCGGTCAGAACCAACAGTAGAAGTGGAGCGGAAGGAACTGCTTGGGCAAAGTCTGAAGCAGAGCGAAATGGAGGGGACGGATGCAAGAGTGCAGGGTCTAGTTCCGACGCACGGGAAGTTGGGTGAGTGGAGGGATGGGGGAACGGGGGAATGGGGGAATGGGGGAGCAGGGGAACAAGGGAACAGGGGAATGGAGGAGCGGAGGATTGGAGGATTGGAGGATTGGAGGATTGGAGGATTGGAGGATTGGAGGATTGGAGGATTGGAGGATTGGAGGATTGGAGGATTGGAGGATTGGAGGATTGGAGGATTGGAGGATTGGAGGATTGGAGGGTGGCTGGCCTAGGGAGTCAATCCCCTAGGCCGGCTAACAGGAGTTGACTAGGATCAGGCCCAAGTCAAACAACAGAAGAGCAGGGCTTAGAAAAGGTAATATTCAGACTGAGTATCTACAGACAAATGTACATATGTTTATATACTCTAAGTGATGAACATAGCATAGCAGAAGGCTATGTGCTGAGTGTACAGGAATACAATAGGATGACTGAGACATACGAGAATAAGGCTCGGGGAACAGTATGTACACGACGGATCAGAATCGCTAGGGTATAGGGATTACCGGTGATCTGAAAAGTGGAACTATGGTACTAAACGGGGATAGGACCAGTTGAGTGGTTCCTAGTCTAGGATTGGACTGGTGAGGCGGTCGGGCGGACTAATAGTCTGGTAGGGCAATACGAGAGGAACTGGGCGGGTCAGAAAAGTGGAGGGAGCAGGAGTAGGGTTGGTGGACCGATAGGGCAGAGGAGTGGAACCCCAGATAGGGTCAGATGGAAGGGGTATGGGGTCGGGGGACATAGGGGTAGTGTCAGAAGAACGGGACGGGGTCGGGCGGAGGTAGCAGGGCTAGTCCTGCTGAGATGCACTTCGTGTATTGTTGGGGAAGGAGGGATGGAGCGGACAGGGAAACAAGGGGTTGGACCAGCAGTAGGGATGCTTATAGGTGGTACTGGGGGTACTCGGATCCGGTATATGACACAACCCCTCCTATAATGTTGCTGCAGCAGGTAACATTTCTGTTGATACAGAAAGCCATTGCCTGATATTTGGTATCCTACAAAGATGGCACATGTCACCTATGTGAAGTTCACATGACAAAATGTCAATGTTTAGATTTACCTCTACCACAATTGCCGTTACACACCTTCATAGCTCATCAACTCCCTTGCACAAACAATGCAAATCAACATTGCAAGAGCTCCATTTGATGTCCCAGATATGTATGCCTGGAAACACTTTTTTAAGTCTTCTTCTGATGGCAATCCAAGATATTTTGAATAATCATGGTCATTGACACCATCACTATTCTCTTCAAATTCTGCTTCTTCTATCATACTCCTCTGTGCTTCACGTCAAAGCTTGCCAGCAATCCTTTTTCTCTCAGCTTTTTTTCGCGTTCCTTCTCACACTCCTTGTCTTTCTCCTCTGCAGCTCAACATATCATATCCAAAATATGGTCTGGTAGTTTGCGCACATTATCCATGATTTGTGACCATGTCAGCTTTTGGATATTTGTCCTGAACATATTTCCAGGAACTACAGCAACCAGTTCTGCCTTTGTTAAATCACCAACAATTTCAGTGTTGTTGTGATGCCCCATTGCACCACAGTGAAGATATTTTCAAGAATAAAATGCCTTGTCATGTCTCTAGCTCCCTTGCTCGGATCTTTTATCTTGCTGACCTCCATCAATGACAGATTGTATTTTACATCTCCATTCCAAGGTATGTGGTTTCATGTTAGCCTTTTCCAACTTCTGATTCCCTGCAAGACTGTCACATGCCTTCAATGATAAGTAACTAAACCTATTACTGTCCCACCTCCATTCCTGTTGTTCAAATTTTATTGTATCACCTCATCCTTCCACTTGTCAATTCATAATGGATGCTGATTGACACGGATCAAAACCTTAAGTTCCCTAACGAAATACTTTTCAGGATTAGACAAGGGCACTGGATCATATTGAGGGATTTGAGTGGATCTTTTTTAAGTATAGATTATTCTTCAGAACTCCTCAGTGTCCTCACTGATGCTCAGAGATCCTAAATTTTGTTCTCAGGTGATATAGAACTAGATCCTTTCTGGTTGACATCAATTGACATATAAGCACAGACAGAATTGTTCTCTGCTTGTTACCCCAGATCCCCCATCATGGTCCAGGATAAACCAAAGGTGTCCACATCCAAAAATACATCTTCCCCCTCTGACTTTTGTGCTCCATCAAAACCTGTTACACCTAAACTCGTATCTGCCAAAACTGTCCTTGAAAAGCTCCAATTCCAAGATGGGGGCTTTTATGTTGGTACACAGAACCTTGCTCGTCGAGTCGAATATTTTCAAGGAGGGCATGAAGGTGATGTTTTGATACCAAACACACATCCGGTGTTGATGAACTTACTCTGCAGGGAGTATTTCAAATAAGTCATGTGGACTTTTACTTCACCCCCGACGCAAAGCTTGATCCTGCAAACATGTTCAATGGAAGATTCTCAGATGTCAAATTATTGTGCCATCTGACTGCTACTTGTCACAGTGACTTTGGCTTCTCCTCAGATGATTTTTCTGCTGTTATTGACAACTTGGGGGTTTGAGAAATTGATTTGACGAGAACATGATGCTGAATCCTTAAGCACCATTCATATGACCTTAGGTCTTGATTCCATCAAACTTGTTCACCATTTATTCACGCCAGTAAGCTACTATTCTCATTTCTCAATTAACACACTCAAAAATTCACCACTAGTTGAAATCAACTGAGGGCTCAGAAGATCAAGTTGCTGTTGATCCAGAAGATGATGACACTTTGACCAGTAAGCTAAACATCCCTGTCCCAGACATTAACATACAACTGATAGTACGCACTACCAGACACCACTGCAGACCTTACATCTGATTTTGAGATGACGAACTGGCCAGTTGCAGAATGCTGCAAATCCCAACTTGCAGACCTTGTGCAAACACACACCATCAATCCTCTCCCAGCATACAGCCTTGACCGCAAACTCATGCCACCAGCCCAATACAAGAGTAAATTATGTGGTGCTGTCATTGAAGTCCATTTTGCATTTTTCATCATCACATCAGAAGGTCTAAGCATCACATCTTCAATGCTGTTCTTTGTGATATGACCATGTTGCGGCCTCTGTCAAACATGCCTTCCAGTCCACTGAAACAACACAAACTTGGTGCCAGCCCTGCATCTGACATGCCTTTCAATGGAAAGAAATGGACCCATAAAGGTAAATTTTACTTTTTTTCAACCAGAGCTGTGCAACAATTCACCACAACAATTTGTTAGACTTGGAAACTGTCTAAATGCACTCTTGTAGTAACACATTGTACAATAGTAATTTTTGCACAGCTTTCTTGGTCATAACTCTAACTTGTTGCTCTCCAAAGTTTTGTTGTAACTTGAGTATACCACTAGGCACTGATACACAATTAGTATATCACACGCATTTCATTTGTTCCCCTCAGAAATTGATAAGTACATGACACTTGTGGGACAAGGTTGTTGCCGGCAAAGCTCAGCCTTTATCTAGTTAGTAATAGTACCATGTACCTATTTCCGTTACTAATTTGTAAAGAATAGCCACAAACCACCCTACCAGCAGTATTCCCAGCACATCAGCAGTGACTTGGGCAAGCTGAACAGCCTGCCCAAAATAGAAGTATACCTAGTAAGTCTGATCCTTGGCAACTGATGCTGGTGGCTAAATTAGGCTTTTGATACTGTCAACATTTGCACCCTAACATTGCTAAATGTTACCTCACAGTTTGCTCATTGTTTCTTACCAGATCCTTGTTGCACCTTGTGCAGTAGACAGGGATAGACATTCTTTGCCTATATACATTATTCTCCCTGCTATAGGACCACTCCTCATTGTGCTCCTCAACATCAACAGTGAGTTTGATGTTTTTCCTCTCCTGCCACTATTTCTTACTGGACCATTGTCACACCTTGTGCATTGGACAGGGATAGATATTAATCACCTATCTACCTGCTGTAGGACCACTCCTTGCTGTGCTCCTCAACATCAACAGTGAGCTTGATGTTTTCCCTCTCCCACCATCATTTCCCACTGGACCCTTGTTGCATCATGTGTGTTGGACAGAAGACAACATTTTTCATCTATCTACATTGTTTTCATCATAGTAGGATCAGTCCTCATCATTCTGCTTGGCGTTGACCTGTGCATTGCACTATAGACACTCTCACTGGCAATAGTAAGCAATTTTTTTCATTTTTATGCTATATACTGTGTATCTTATGTGTATGCTATCATCTGCAGGTGTGTATGTGTTTATACAATGTTCTGTGCGATGTATTCTGATGTGATGTTGACATGGTAGGGTGGTGCCAGAGGTCCTCAGGGTTCTCTGGGACATTAATGTGAATGTTTGCTCATTCCCATGTCCAGCAATCAACATGGGTTGCAAGCAGACTAAACTGTCAACTATCTGCCATGTCAAAGAGTCTGTTGTACAATCTATGGGTGATCTCAGGACTTTGCACTCCAATCTTATGAGGTTGCAAGTGGATCACATCATTTATGAGAGGGAGCAGCTTCAGAGTCACACCGGTGAGCAAGTTGTTGTACTGTCTCCATTCAAACTTATTTTACTGAAAAATAGCAGCCAATCCTACTGCATGTCAGCTTCTTGCTGAGGCAGCACTTGAGGCAGGTACCACAAATACAGATGCTCACTATTTTGGAGATTTTGACATGGATAGCAACCAGGACAACATGGAGGAACAGGACGAGCATGAGGAGGAGGAAGGAGACAAGGGGGAATCAGAAGGCAACCCAGTAGGTGGGTGTGAGGGCTCAGCAGTCGGCACTGTATGGGCACAAGTCATCTATTGGTGAGTTCTGAAAACTGTGGGGTATGACAATTAACGGTTCATGCAGTTTTCGAGGCAAACATCATTGTTGTTAGATGCCATGCAGTCAACTGCACCATAACTGAGAACTTCATGCTGCATGGAGTAGGCAGATGCAAGATCTTGTTGCTGCCTACCTCTGCTGGAAGCTTCATGAGGCTTCAGACATTCCCCCAGTTGATCCTGGGTCATGTGAGTTCCAGGTCAGTACCATTGGTATTTTTGGTGCATATTTGATTCCTACATAACTGAACTGTGTGTCTCACTAATTATAGTGTCCATGTCTTCAATCTCCATCCCTCAAGCTGCTGAGGAACCAGCCAATGTTTTGCTTATCAATGTGGGACTCACTGGTTGCTCTCCCATCCAGCCCACCATAGCCATTTCTCTCAAGTGCCTTGAATTGTATCATCAGATTTGCCGATGGAAACCATCATTTAGTGTACAGGCTATGGTCAAGGTTCCATGTGCACTTCATAACACACATAATTTCTTTTGGTACCTTAATTTATTGTAATTGTAATTCTATGATTCAGCACTCATACTTTCAAGCTCTGCATGACCAATTTGCAATTGCATTTGATGTGTATCTTAATATTTTATGGCATGTTCAAGAAAAAGTTAACATAGCATTGAAACAAGACAGTCCTGACTGGCACATGCTCCATGTGTGCCCTGTGTGTGATTACAAGGTTATCTTTTCTGAATAAATATATAAAAGTGTTGTGTGTAAAGCAGACAATCAGATTGAGAATGTAAAGTGTTGGGTCAAGGCATAAATCATATGATGAAAGGCAATGCTGTAAAATGTTGTCACATGCATCAGACATATAAATCATCCATACATTGATGATTGTACGGCCAGTCTGAATTGCCTTCCTGCAATAAGTAAATGATCTACACATTGTACAAGCGCTATCCAACGATATATAAATCTGCTTATACTATTAGTAGGATGAGGCTGAAACACTGGAGCCCTGAACAATGTGCCATGCTGCCATTGTCAGGACTGCTCACTCACAGCAGCGCAGCCAGAGCAGGACGCGAGATCCTCGAGGTTCTTGACGACAACCTTAACATGAAGAAGTGATTAGAAATCAAAAAGCAGCAGCAGCAATTAGAGCACTTCTCAGTTGTGTGCTCTCTTAGTTCCTCGAGGGCCTTGATAAGCTGATTGACATCTTGGGCGGAGGATATTCAAGTCAGAAATGCTGCTGTATGACTGGGAGCCTGAGGATATTGTTAAGACTGTGCTCAGGGGTAAAGCGGAGTCTGAGGGGCTTGGCTTCAGCTCGTACGCTGCACCCCTTACCTGAGTATGTGCCCCTAATTTCAGAATGTAGTCCGACACGAGTTCTATGAGTTCCGACAGGACGTCGGAACAGGGGTCCTCTGAAGGAGGACTGATGGACTACTAGGTGAGTGCGGGAAAGTCAGGCAGGGGTTGTTCTGCCCGACAGGAGGGAGGCGGGAATCACATTATCATCACTCTACTTTGACATCATGAAGGACTGCCTCTATGCCAATGACATTCAAAGTGTCGAAAGATGGGCGGTTGTGACTACCCTTGCCAAAGTGCGTGTTATTCAGTAAGAATATATGGTTGACTTATGTTCCTACCAGGTCTCAACTCTATGATCTCCATAATGGCCCCAGTGCTCCCTTATCTGGCAGAAGAAACCCACAGTACTCTTCACGAAGGTGATGATGCTGTGTCCCAGCTATCCGTCTTTGTGAAGAAGTGGACTCCTGTCGTGAGTATCAACGTCACAGCTGCATGTACTTTCTCTGATATTCTCTTGAACTACATAGAGTGCGGAGTGGAATGATCTGCAAGCTGAACAAGACATGGCTAGTTTGTTGAGGGTGCATAGTGTCGTGCTATCTCTTTTGGAAAAGGCTCAAGGGGACAAGTAAGTGCTCAATTCTTTTTGTGTTCATATTGTCTGAGTGTGTTTCAGTGTAGGCATCTGAAGAGCTCTCTCGAAGCTGAGGTTGATATTGTCTTGCCCAATGATATTTCTGTGTAGCCATATTTTCTCCAGTTGATTGAACATGAAGGTAGGCAGTTCAGTCTTCCCATTTTCCCACAGCAACTGAAAGGCATTATGTGCAGAAACGTTCCTGAAGACACTTTTCATCATTTCTGATGCCAACATCACAGACGAAGGCTCTCTCGGCACTAGTTCATTTGTGTGGTCTTATATCTCTTCGATGGATATACCCGGTATGTTATGAAAACTGTGTCTTGTATTCATTCACCTTATTCCTTCTGTGTAGATTCGGACTTGGAGTTGGCGATTCGCGTAAGACCTGCATCCTCGAGTAAGTGCAATGTATACCCATGAAGAGGAGCACAATCTATGTCCCTGCTGTGAGGATGTTTTTCGACATGTGGATTAGATTGTTGGTGATGATGGTATAACTAGCTAGATATTTATATAGAATCCTAGATAATACTCTATCAATCCCATCTCTTGCACTTGCTCAAGCTCGACTATCACTTTGGTGTGTTCTGTATGAACAGCATGGCATTGAGTACAATGATCTTGGTCAACACTGGAGGATAACGCAGATCTAGGGATATCATATCCCCTTTCAGTTGCTTATGCGTAGCAACAAGCAGGCCTGCAATATCTTGCAGGAATTCAAAATTGTAAAGAAAACATAGTCCAAGTAAAACAGAGACCGTTGATCTAAACAAATGCAGAAAATTGAAAAATGACACCCATATCACCTATCCGCATCACACCAAGCTCACTGGGGCAAAAGTCACCCCTTCTCGCTGTTAACAACATGCTGGAGACTGTATCTGTAAGTCAACAGAGCATGGCATGAACTAATGCAACTCACCATAACAGGAACAGGAACAGATGTGCTCCGCCTGCACTTGAACCACGATAGAGCAAACACCCCAACGAGCATGAATGCTGAAAAGGCAGCAAGCAGCATGTTCATGTTCTCAGCACCAGACATGATACCAAAGTAGCCATGATTGATTCCATATGCAGATTCCCATTGTTTTTGACTCAGGATAGCAAAGTTCTGGAAAATGTATGAGTGCGAGCTAAACATGACATGCATGAAACTTACCTCAAGGCGATACAAGAATTCTGTTACCACAATGTCTCCTTTGTGACCGAAGATGGGATAAGTCTGGAAATCTTCATTGGTCCTGTTCTTGAACTTGATGCGGAGGAATTCATGCAGTTCAGGTGGAGGTCCACAAAGAAGCTCAAATGCAAGGGCAGATGCATGGTTAGCTGTGTGATGCCAATATCGAGCAGCTATATGAATGCCTGAAGTGGAATACTTGCAGATGGCAGTGAGCTGAGGATGCTTGTTGACCATCTCCATCATGTGGAATAGTGAGATGAATGGCTGGTAAGTCATCTCAAGCAGAATTAACCTGAGGGGGTCCTTGTCAAATGTGATGCATTGTAGCGAGTGAAGAATGGTATGAAGGATAGTACAGCCAGCAACTAGGCAGGAGATTAGATGCAAACCAAACGAAGGAATGAAATGTACTGTTTCCAATTCCACCTGTTTCCTTGTCAGAGAATATCGTGTTTTCATGATAGTTAACATATCTGCGGGCCTGCTCAATGAAAGTCAGTGTGTGTAGGTTTGATTTTGCATAAGTTGTGAATTCATGAAGTCATAGATCTGCATAAGACATCATATCATTAAGATGATCATGGAGCTGCTGCGTGATACATACATTCCACTGTCATAGGTTGATCAGCATGAGCAACAACAAAACAGAAGAATATGCACAGTGTTTTCAAAGGTCATAGGCCTCCCAAATATGTAATCGTGAATGGCACCAAAGAAGTGTCCTGCAGATCCCACAACCTCCTTGGATCCGTGAGATGTATACTGTTATGGTTCTCTTTTCCCCTATCTCACTTGCTTACTAAGCCCTCTATGACATTCCATCTCATTCTATTGTACGATCCTCACTTCCCTTTTCTTATTGGCTGTTGTATCATCGTACAACTTTCTTTTCTCTTTACTTATTCAAACTCAGCTTTAACTCTTCTATTTAAACCATTGTCTCATACTTGTACTCTTTAACTTGACCTACGCAGACCAGGGCCTGCAATACTACTGCTTAACTCGCACAACTCGATACTAGGGTATCGCTAGAACTTTCAACTCTTGTTTCTGCTAAAGACGTCTAATCGACGCCGAGCGTAACAAAAGGTCAAGTTACTCAACAGAACTGCCGCTCCTAGAGTAGGTGCCCAACCAGAACACCACGGACCCCCATAGGAACTACCCAGGTTTTACCTGGGACAAAACACGACAGACCTATGTCAAACCTGTCCAGAACGGTAGCCTTGCTACTATCGAAGAGTGGAGAACCTTCATCGAAGACCCAGCTCACTGTGCCCCAGATTACCATTACGACTTTAGCACAGAAACTTACGTTCTGAACGAAATCCCCCTCTCACCTCCAGGAGGCGTACACAACCCCTTACCACCCGTCCAACTTCCCTCACCTCCTACCCCAGAAAACGAGGACATAGACCTAGACCCAGAATCAGACGATGATGACGACATGCCGAAAATCATCGGAAACACACCTCCTGCATTCACCGGCGACACTCGTATCGCCCAAGGCTGGCTCCTCCAAGTCGGAGCCTACTTAGATATCAATGATGGAGTCTACATGACCCACAAGCAGAAGATCGTCTTCATACTTTCTTTAATGACTAAAGGGGAAGCTGCTAAATGGGTGGAAGGAATCTTTAAGAAAGCGGTCATTGCTGAGAACAACTATGGCATGTACACCGCATTCATAGACGAACTGAAAACCACTTTCTTCCCTAAAAATGTTAATGAATCAGCTCTCTGCCGACTCTCCTCCCTTAAGCAAACCAGCAGTGTATCCGCTTATGCCTCCATCTTCCATACCATCATCGCCGACACCGATATCAACCAAGAGTCGATCAAGATCATGTTCTTTAAAAATGGTCTCCAGCAGGAAATCATTAATGCCATCATGGCATTCCAGATGCTCCCTACCACACTTGAAAGCTGGCTCACCAATGCCCTTGAGGTAGAGTCGCGCTGTTTCATCATGAACCCCTCCTCCAACCATCACTCACAATCTAACACAATGGATATTGACCGTACTGAGATAGAAGAAGGAGTAGACGAAGAAAGGCAGGTAAAGAAGACTTACCTATCTCCCCAAGAACGGGAACGCAGGCGCAAGAACGGCCTCTGCTTCAAGTGCGGCAAGAAGGGTCTTATCAAAGACTGCCCGAACCATCCTGCCTTTACACCAAGGCCGCCACAGACCACCGCCAAGAAGGCGAGCAAGGACAATGAAGACAACTATAAGGAGTTCCTAGAGTGGAAGGCGTTCAAAGCACGCCAGGCTAAGAAGACTGAGGATAAGGATTTTGCATAGAGGAGACTGAACCGGTGTCAGACTCTCGTAGAATCAGACTAGTAGTACAATCAATTGGTGACTCGAATTCTATGTGTTTGCCATTAACATTTGACTCTAGCCCTGAAATCGCCGAAGCTGCAGCTCTTATAGACTGTGGAGCAGAGGGAGAATTTATTGACTGGATGTTCGTCCGTCGAAATTCCATCCCTACCGAACGACTCCCAAAGTCTGAAATGTAGACAGGACACTTAATAAGCAAGGTCAGATCACACATGCTTGCAATTTATCCTTTTATATCAAAGGAATTCCCATGAAAACACGCTTCCTTATCACCTCTCTAGGAGGCGAAGACGTAATTCTGGGAATATCCTGGCTAAAGAAAGAAACCCACAGATTAATTGGATGAAAGAAGAAGTGACCCTTAGAGAACGAAGCGCATATATTGAAGACGTCAAAGAAGAAGACTCCTTCTTCGACGCACAGGAGTCCCTTGAAGACGAATGGGACCCTGCCGTGGAAAGTATTCCGTATTCCTCTGAAATCCCCAAACTCCTTGACCCTGAACCTGCTGATGAAACAGAAGAAGAACTAGACCCTGACGAATTCCTGATTGCATACTGCAAAGGCGATCACGTCATAGGGACTTACGAAAGTTTTGAATCCCCCCTTACTAACGAACATATCCCTGCCGACCACAGATACTTCTCAACCCTTGGAACCTTAGTCAGGAAAGCCAACAACATCTCTCAAACCCTCGCCCAAGAAGCCACCAAACTGAAGAAGACGTTCGAAGAACTCGTACCTGAGATCTTCCAGAAGTATAAGTACGTATTTGGAGAAGTAGCTAATGGAACTCTCCCACCAGAACGCAAATTTGATCATAAGATCGATCTCAAGGATACCTTCGAACCGCGTAAATGCAAAATTTACCCTCTTAATCCCGCGGAAGAGAAGGCCATGAACAACTTCATAGACGAGAACTTAGCCAAAGGAACCATCATCCCCTCCGAATCACCGCAATCATCTCCATTCTTCTTCGTCGGTAAGAAAGACGGTTCCCTACGTCCCTGCCAAGATTATTGTTATCTCAACGAACACACAGTTAAGAATAACTATCCGCTTCCGCTAATCTCAGATCTCATAGATAAGCTAAAGAACGCGAAGATCTTTACCAAGATGGACATCTGGTGGGGATACAACAACGTCCGACTCAAGAGGACCGATCAATGGAAAGCCAAGTTCGCCACGGCAAGAGGACTCTTTGAACCCACGGTAATGTTCTTTGGCATGTGTAATTCACCCGCCACCTTCCAATCTATGATGAACAATACATTTGGAGATATGATCCAGGAAGGATGGCTTATCATCTACATGGACAATATACTGATCTTCTCAGACGACTTCGACACCCATCAGAAACGAACCCACCACGTCCTAGAAAGACTCCGCAAACACCGCCTATACCTCAAACCAGAGAAATGCACATTCAATGTAGAAGAAATCGAATATCTTGCCATGATCATTAAGCCAGGATTGGTAGCTATGGACCCAGCTAAACTGAAGGGAATCTCCAAGTGGGAAACCCCGAAGGAAGTCAAGGAAGTTTGCTCATTCCTCGGATTCACTAACTTCTATCACCACTTTATCACCGATTATTCCACGATCGCACGTCCCTTGATAGATCTCACGAAGAAAGATATGCTGTTCAAATGGAATGAAGAATGCGACTCCGCATTTCGGAGACTGAAATCAATCTTTACTTCAGCTCCCATCCTTCAGATTCCTGACCGCCTTTCCCCCTTCGCCATTGCCACTGACACCTCCTTATATGCTACCGGTGCAGTACTCCTCCAGAAAGACTCTAATGGTGAATGGCTCCCCTGCTCATATCTTTCCCAATCCTTCGCCCCCACCGAATGAAACTACCAGATCTATGACTGAGAACTCCTCGCCGTCATCCATGCGCTCAAAGCATGGCACCATTACTTGTTAGGATCCCCCTTCCCGGTCGAAGTCCGAACTGACCACAAAAACCTCACCTATTTCCATGACGTGCAAGATCTCAATAGACGCCAAGCACACTGGCAAACCTTTCTTTCTCAGTTTGATATCCATTTCAAGTTTGCACCAGGCAAAGACCTAACTATTCCAGACGCCCTCTCCCGTAGATCGGATCACCTTCCAGACGATAGTGTCGAAAAGGACAATACTAGCATCCAACTTCTCCCTGATTTTATGTTCATCAATTCTGCATCCCTTTCTGAACAATTACATATATCATCTTCCGTTGACCCAGTAGTACAAATAGCGCTTGATGCGCTTCAGAACCCTTCCATTCCCCCTCCTCTTCGCTCTGCTTTATCTGACTGGAAACTCTCCAATGGTATTCTTACCTACAAAGGACTTACTTATGTACCACCAGGTGACCTTCGTCGCAGTATCACTTCCCTCCATCACGACTCTCCTACTGCTGGCCATCCAGGACGCTATAAAACCCAGGAACTTCTCTCTCGAGAATACTGGTGGCCTGGCTCTCCACGTTCGTGAAGAACTTCATTGATGGTTGCAGTATCTGCCAACAGAACAAAGTCAACACGCACCCATCTTCTCCCCCTCTATGTCCTATTCTTGCCCCTATATCCAACCGACCCTTCGCTCATTGCTCAACTGATCTCATCACAGACCTCCCACCTTCTAACAGCTACAATAGCATCATGGTCGTGGTAGACCATGGCCTTTTGAAGGGGGTAATTCTCACTCCATGTAACAAAACGATAGATGCTGAAGGGGTAGCAAACGTTTTCTTTTCCAAAGTATTCTCTAGATACAGACTTTATGATAAGATTATCTCTGACTGCGGATCCCAATTTGCCTCTAGATTCCAGATTGAACTTGGAAAACTCCTCGGATACAAGAACTCCCTTTCCACTGCGTTCCATCCCCAGAGTGATGGAGAGACCGAATGAGTTAACCAAGAACTCGAAGTCTACCTCCGGATCTTCTGCACTAATGATGCAACAGGCTGGGCATCCATGCTCCCTGTTGCAGAATTCGTTCACAACTCCCGTCATCATTCCACTCGCGGCACGTCACCATTCTATCTCATGATGGGTTACCACCCCAAACATCTACCCAACCTCCATCCTAAGAGCGACATCCCTAACGTCGAACAAAGACTCATCATCCTTAACAAAGCTTGTGATGAAGCTTTAGCCGCACATGAACTAGCGCACAATACCATGAGACAACAAATCATGTCCAAGTTTGTACCGTTCAATAAAGGTGATAAGGTTTAGCTCGAGTCCAAAAACCTTCATCTTGGATATCCTAATCATATACTCGCACCTAAACGAGAAGGACCATTCACCATCACCGACGTCTTATCCCCCGTCACTTACCGACTCTCACTTCCCATGCAATGGTGTATCCATCCCATATTCCACACCGCACTCCTATCGCTGTTCAAAGAGAACAATACTCATGGTCCTAACTTCGTCACACCACCACCTGATCTTGTAGACGGTGAAGAGGAACAAGAAATAGAGGTCATCATCGGCCATAGAGGTTCAACCTCGCGCAGATATTATAACATCAAATGGAAGGGGTTCCCAAGTTCCGAGAACGAATGGATGACAGAGAGACAAATGGGTAACACTTCCAATATTCTCCTTTCCTATAAAAACGCACATTGTCTTTGATTTTCCTTTTTCTTTTGTAGTATTCATGGACTACTACCCTTAAAACAGGGGTAATGTTACAGTTCTCTTTTCCCCTATCTCACTTGCTTACCAAGCCCTCTATGACATTCCATCTCATTCTATTGTATGATCCTCACTTCCCTTTTCTCATTGACTGTTGTATCATCATACAACTTTCGTTTCTCTTTACTTATTTAAACTCATCTTTAACTCTTCTATTTAAACCATTGTCTCATACTTGTACTCTTTAACTCGACCTACACAGCCCAGGGCCTGCAATACTACTGCTTAACTCACACAACTCGATACTAGGGTATCGCTAGAACTTTCGACTCTTGTTTCTGCTAATGATGTCTAATCAATGACAAGCATAACACATACACACTCTTGATGTGCTGCTCAAACGCCTATAGACCACCCAAATCAGCCTTGCATAGACACCTAGAGGCATGTAACTCATCGGACACTCAGTCCAGGGCTCGAGTGCACAATCAACGCTGCTTGGAGTCATTTTGACTGGAATGCTTCATCCCATTGGCAAGCTCAATCACATTGTTTGGATTTGGCAGGAAGAGGCCTTGCAGGATGGCTATGGCACTATCAAAGACTGCAGTGCCTTCCTCACCAGCCTTGGCATGCACAATCACTTGACCATTTTGCATGAGGTCAGCATGGATGCCACTGATGTGTGATGGGGAAGAGGGGTTCAGGTATGTCGAGTGCTGATAGCTGCCAAGCTGGTATGATTCTACCTAGAGTCATACATTAGGTGGGGTGTGCAGAGAATGGGGTAGACATACAGCACCGAGAGGAGTGGAATCAGTGAAAGAGGGCTCGTATGTATACAGATCTTGATAGAACTCTGTGTGGTTGCTGTTGCGGGCGATGACAACATATTATGAACATCAGGCATTGCAGGTCATTAGTGCAGTTGGTAGAGTAGCTGTGAGGGGAAAGAGAATTCCTGGAGGTGGCTTGAGAGACGGAAAGCTGTTGTTTGAGGTCTTGATGGTCTTGATCAACTTCACAGGGGCGATGACCTTGCCGGAGTATCTACCTGCTGTGGCCTGAAAAAAATGAAGAACATGGGTAATAACAAAAGAATAACAGCAACTTACAAGTGCACTTTCCTCCTGCTGGTGAATCTCAGAGGTGCTTGGTAGGTCAACGTTAACAATGATATCCTCCAAGGTCTTCTGGTAATTAGTCCAAACCAGACCCATGGACTCAGATGTTGGTTGAAGTTCAGAGTACTTGCCGGCAGACTGTGGCAAGTCATCCTCCACACTGTACAGTTTATCTGGAAGGGCCTAGTACTCAAGGTGTAGGAAAATTGGTACCCCTTGCCGCGAGGAAGTTGCATGCTCATTGTGGGAATCAGTTATAAGAGCTTGAGAGATCAGTCGCGCCTAGTCACCACCTACCACCCAAAAAATTTCCTCAAGCTCATGGCCCATACAAAGAATAAGAAAAAGGCAATGGCCCTTCCAGTATCCTATCCTAATGGTCCCAAAACCCAAAGAGGATGCCATGGTGTCAACAAGTGGTTCGAAAAGTTATAGACTTACCTAGATAGTGGGCTGAGAGAGGACCAACTTGAGTGGATTGACTCCTTGCACGGTGGGTTTGGGCCTCAGTGACTCCCAGAGGCTAAATTATTGGTTATTCAGAAGTGGAACAAATCAGTGTCTACCCTAGTACTTTTGTCCACACCATGAAGGACAAGAAACACATTAAGCGTGCCATGCAGGAGCAATACCCTGATGGTTTCACTGCATCCCAGTTCCCAATTTTTGATCCCCAAAACTCCTTTTCCATCACCCCCCCTGAAGAACATGAGGAGGCCTTGCATGCATGGCACCCTCCATTTCTTGCAGCCAGGTTTTGTCATGTCATTATCAAGCAAGGTCAGAAAGCACTCATTACAGCCTGGGGTGGTCTGCAGGACCATGCTCTATCACTTGAGCATTATACCAGCCCCAGTGAGGCCAACCTGTCATCCACGCCTACCTACCATTTTGGTTTATGGCAGGTGCAACAAGCCCAACCTATGGTCACTTGTGCAACCAGGAAGCAAAACCTGGAGGTGTTGAAGGCCATTGACAAGCTGCTGACTGCAGTTCAGGCCCATGTGATGCCCAAGATAACTGCTCTTCTTGGCAGACATGCTCCCAAGCAACTGGAGCATCAGTGCAGGTGCATATTATGCTTAGAACTCCCCTACAGTACTAACATTTATGCTGTAGGGCATATCAATTCATTAAGAATTTCACCCTTCTCAAGGATGAGCTTATCAAGAGGCCGGCTTTGGATTTTTTTGGAGCTTTTTTGCATTTACCATCAAGGAGGGTATGAGTGAGATCACCCATCTTGATTGGAGTGATTACATCAACTCCATTACATGATTGATAGCCTTAGGAGACTGGGAGGGTGCTTATTTGGTGCTTCTGCAGGAGGGCCTGGAATGGTGCATCCCTATCCACCCAGGAGATGTGTTTAGCCTCAAGGCCCGCATATTGGTTCATTGTACAACCCCAGTTACCAAGGGGCACAGGATTATATTGACCTGCTTTTCAGATAGCAATATTCTGCGCCATGGTCAATTTAAGCTCTATTTTAGATCAGTTAGAATTTTGTAGTTTTTGTATCAGCCTACTAGTACTGTGACCAAGCTACTAGAAGCCTTATCAGGGATTCCTATGCTTGGTCCAACTCTTGAATGTGTTCAACTCAGCCACCAACAGGTTTGCAGACATGCAAGCAGCTATCTCTGTTTGTATGTCACTAACTTTCATATGTGGGAGTTAATGGTGACAGGACTAAAGAACAGGACATTAGCTATCAATTTCAAAATATCATGAGCACCCTGGCAAACTCTCTATCTACTGCCTGACAAGTGCAAGTCTCATCTTGAGGAGAAACCAGGTGTAGCACACTGAGACCCCTGGACTCTAGATCAGAAGCAGGTGCAGTCCCAGGTCAGATTATGTAAGCGTGATGTGTTGATTTACTGGTGTGCTCACCTCTTTTTTCCTTGGTCATGGTGGTCACTGCCAGTTTCCCGGTGCCAAGGGGTGATTCTTGTAGTCGCTTGACTAGTGGGCACAAAATTTCCTTGGTTCAAATGGCTGGGAAGCGGGTGATACAGACCCATCTTTCTTTTTTTAGCATTTTCAAATTAGACGTGGCATCAGCACGCTATTTTCATTCACCATGATCTTGTAAGTCCAACTCACTCTTTTTATGGTACAGTCCAATCACTAATGCATCTGAATTTCCAATGTGTTGCAGCCTTACCCTGTGTCACAAAGGAGTTGACAGTGAAGGGTGCCTGGAAGCGCCTAGTCAGTCTTGTGTGCTGAGTGGTTTCACTGCAGGTTTGCTTCATGCTTGGATCCTCACAGATCATTGGATCCTTACAGATCCTCACATGCTGCCCCATGTGTTATCCTTTCAACAGCACTAATGCTGCGACAGTCAGGAGCTTGGTCAGCAGTCATTGCCAGTTTTCCAGTGCCAAGGAAGGGTTCTTGTAGTCACTTGACTAATAGGCACAAACTTTCCTTGGTTCAAATGGCTGGGAAGCAGGTGATGCTGGTCCTTTCTTTTCATTTTCAAATCAGTCTGGGTGTTAGCATGCCATTTTCATGGCCGTCATCAGTCCAACTTGTTCTTTTGACAGTCCGGTCTGGTCGCTAATGGATGCAGGACTCACACTCATGCCTATGCATGGTGCTACAGAATTTAGGTCCATTAGGTTCTTCTGACACATAGGGAGAAGGGCATGCCTTGAGCTGGACAAGGCACCATCACCAAGAAAGCCATTAGCAAACTGCACAAGGAGATCAATGGTCTTTTAGCAGGTAGTTTTACCAATGCCCGAAGTCGACGTTGATGCATCAGGAAAAACTATATCTCTATATAGAGGACCATCCTCTATATAGCCCCGATAGCACACCACAGCTCTATACAGTCTATGGCAAGCTATCACAGCACTATAGACCAGTATAGACATCATGAAAGTCTATATATTACCATAAAGTTTGGTAAGTGTATTTAGAAGTAAAACATTTCAACAACTATAGACCCCAGTAGACTGTGGGAACTTTTTTCGATGAAAACCAAAGTTGTAGTCCTTGTCTAGGGAAGTCTATCCATAGTCTTATGACTTCAATAGGTTAAGATCCTAGTGAGTTATAAGGAAAATACTCGAAATTGAAGGGTTCAAGAAAGCAACTTGACCATGGGAACTTTTTTCGATTAAATCAAAGTTGTAGTCCTTGTCAAGGGAAGTCTATCCATAGTCTAATGACTTCAATAGGTCAAGATCTTAGTGAGTTATAAGGAAAATACTTGGAATTGAAGGGTTCAAAAGTGTTAAGGTACACCTTATTTATGTAAGCAAAAATGCGAAAATTCACCTTATGTGTATTCAAAATCCTAATGCTAACAGTCAATTTCATTGTCTTTTTCTTACTGTCATAATACTAGTCCTATTAACCAAAAACTCGAAAATTCACCAAGTCTTGTGTTGTGGCTTTGTTTGGCACTGCTTATGTAAGCAAAAATGCGGTCAACCAACAAGTCTTTTCCCATTCTTTCCTTCCCCCCCCACTGCCCCCTCATTAGATTATCTTCCATATTTTTCTTACAATTTTCGAGTTTTTGCCTCTCTTCTCTTCTTCTTGCTTCTCTATCCTTCTCTTGGTGTTGATGTTGTTGGTGCTGGTACTGGTGCTGGTGCTTTGAACTCTGGTAAGTCTCCCTCCATAATTTTCGCATTTTTGACTATTTGACTAATCTTTTTTCTAACCCTCTCCTTCTAGCTCTCTTCCCTCCTGCTCCTCCTCCCCCCAACTATTTTCGCATTTTTGACCATTTGGCAAGTCTTTTCTCTGACTCTCACTTCCTCCTGTCTGATCCTCTCCTTCTAGCTCCCTTCCCTCCTCTTCCCTCAAGAATTTTCGCAATTTTCACTATTTGGTAAGTCTTTCTTTTTTTTGTATTCATCTTTCCTCTCTGATTCTTCCTTCTAGTTCTCTTGCCTCTTCCTCCTGTAATTTTCGCATTTTTGCCTGTTTTGTAGTTATTAGTTTACATGTATTGTAGTAGTTGAAATATAATTTGGAATTTTCGCTTTTTTTTAATTTTGAGAACACTATCATGGCAACAAACAGCTATTAAGAGAAATTTTTGCTTTGTGTTTTGAGCTATAATAGCTACAATAGTTATGGTATGTTCCACCCAGCTATAGCAACTTTAATAGAGCTATATAGCACTATACACTGGTGTAGTAAGCCTGCACAATTGGGCACTTGGCTATACGAGCTATAGGGCTATGGAGTCTGTATAGCAGTCTATAGTGCTATGGGTGGCTATATAGCCTTACCACATTTTCCTGATGTGGGTATCAAATGCCACAAGGTGGAAGGAGCAAAATGGGCAATGGTGTGCCTTTACCTACAAACTGGATATCAAAAACTTGCTCATGGGACAACCTCATGCAGGCTTTTTTACTCAGGGCTTCAACAGGTGATTTAATGGCCAATCAAGACTTGTGCTCTACTGACTTCATCTCTTTAATCTCTCTGCAACATTTGTCAGGAACCAAATCATCTCCTCCTTCAGGTCGCCACCAGCTTGTGATATCCAGGCATCAGCACCACCAGTTGACCAAAATATCATACTTTTAAGTCCTTCAATTCGCCAACTCATGAGAAGCATCATCCATGCAGTACGGCATGAGAACAGTCCAAGTTCAGTTGATGTCCAGGATGAGATCAAGAGCAACTATTCAGTTGGGTTGGGGGACTCTGTCAGAGATTCCTCTGCCACTCTTGTTAATGGACGCAGTCAGCGTGAGGATGTGTCAGTGGTACCTGGTGGATTTGAAGACCATGGATTGGATGTCACCCTCCTCCAGTTAGAAAAACTGCTGTACATAGAAGCAGATCCCCCTGGTGCTGACCTGGATTTGGATATGAAGTTGTATCAGAAGGTTTGTCTCACTTCCAGTCTGACTCTGTAAAATAGTCTCCTAATAAAATACAACTCAGATCTGCATGTCTGTCACTGTCATCATTCACAATGCTTGGTGACTCGACTTTAACCTGGTGCTGCTGTCCTTCGAACCCCATGTTCAGGGAACACACAACCTTATGGACCTGACATTGTCTTCTCCATATCACCCAAAGCTGTTACGCAAAACCTCTCGGATGGGATCTGGCAGCGCTAAACCTGCAAGGGGCATTCGAAGCGTGGCCTTCGGCGCTAGCCTAGCAAGGAGCTTGCCTGCACTAAGTCTGAGTAAGGGTTGAAGCCCTTACTTGCATAGAGTCGATTGGAGTTTCTTGAGGATATGATCCAAGA